CTATTTACTATCAGTTTTTTATATAAATATATATTGTTTTTTTATTGACATTAATGATTGATTTTTTTAATAACCACTATATATTTAATGTTATTATTTTTTTAAAAAATATTATCTAATTAGAAAAAAATTAAATTAACTATTTATTTGACTTTTAATTTGATTTTAATAAATATTTGTTTGAAATATTTTTCATGAACTTTTTTAATATTTGGTGTCTATTAAAATGCATTTTGTTTTTTAACACTTTTTTTGTAATATATATAAAGTTTTTTATATATATATTTTATCACTTGACTTATTTTGTGACAAAAAATTTGTCTCAAAAATATTGTGTAAATTTATGTAATTTTAAACATTTATATATAAAATATACGAAAATATATTTTTTATATAACTTTTATATATTGACAGGTAATGTGTGATTTCAAGTGAAATGTTTTTTTGCACAACGTTTTTGAAATGATATTTATTTCAAGAATTTTCAATTTTAAAACTAAAACATTTGATTGAATTTTTTATATTTGTTTGCAATAAGAAAACTAAATACTAATACATAATATATAAAAACAATTTGTTTGTGATATCTTAACATATGATCTTAACATTCAATAAATGCAATTAATTATAATATAATGTTTATTGATTTGAATTTAATATATAATTATTATTAATAAAAACAACAATTATTGTTTTAAAAAACATATTATTGTTTTGTAAATAATCTATTTTTTTAAACATTATTAAATAAATAGTATATAAAATAATTTATAAATCGTGTAAAAATAATAATAATTATTATCATTTAAAAGTATTGTAATATAATTAGGCAATAATTTTATTAGCATTTTTATTAGTAGTAGTAGCTCTCAAAACAGCAATAATAATAATAATAATTTGATTTGAAATAATACAGTAGTAGTAGTAGTAGTAATTGAAAACTAAATTATTAATTAGGATTACAAATTAGGACTTAATATAATAATAATAATAATAATAATAATCAAGAAAACTTTGAAAAACAAAACTAATTGATAAGATTATATATATATATATAAGTTATAAATAAGTTAATTGAAGTAATAAATTATCTTAAACAATATCAACTAACATATAAACAGGGTCATATAATAAAATAATAATAAAACAATAATTAGATTGACATGTGTTTCAAATATTCAATATATATATATACTGTACAGTACTTTACTTTACTATGTATTGTATATCCAATTAACAAACAATAAAATCAATTTTAATTCATTGGAGAGTAATTTACACCAAAAAAACGGTTGCATTGTTAGGAAATTTATTTCAATATATTATTTATCGTTTTTGTTTGTTATCAATAAAATGAAATTAAGTTTAAATAGTTTAATAGTGATCACTGACTAACTGATTAGGCTATTAGTGATAATTCAATGATTAGGATCCCATTCCCATTCACAGTAGTTATTAAACCCCAGGGATGTCCACTCATACACTGTGTTTGACTACGCTTTGTATAGTTTTACAGTAAAAAAAGCCTATCAATAGTTAGTTTAACTTATTTTTTACCGAAAATTTTATTGAATTGATTAAAAATATCTGAAATTTTTTTTTATTATACGAATCGGTTTATAAAGAGTTATATAATTAATTAATTAAAACTATTTTATATTTACTGAACAAACAATTACTGTTAAGTATTAATCAAATATTAACTTTTATTATATTATCTTTTACTGTATATTACATAATATTTTTTTTCTATTGATGTCACCGAACATCTGATATTTTTACCACAAAAATAAAACATCAAACGTTTAATAACCGATTAATTACTTAATTAATACAAAAACAATGTACTAATTATTATAACATTTTTATTAAATTAAAAAAACTATATTTAGTTTAATTATTCAAAAAATGATGACTACTTTTAAGCTACTGTTCCCATAATTATAATCATTTTATTTTAATATTAAACCATTAATATTAAATAACAACTAATAATAATATAATATATTCAGTAATATTTTTTTGTAATACTTTAATCGCTACTAAACTTACTTTTTGAGTGTTTATCACAATTACTGTATATTTTTAGTATTAAATAAAAAAAAACATTTTTTTGTTGTTATCAATAGTTTGCTTAAAATATTAATTAAACAAAAATTAATTAAAAAAAACTCTATTTTTAAGAGTAAATAATCTCTAATTTCTTACATAATTTTAAGGATAAACCACTTATTATTTTATAATTAATTTATTATTATTTTTTGTTTGTTTGACACAAATATTAAAAAAGTAATTGAAAAAAATTGAGAAAAAACTTTATAACATTGAAAATACAGTTTTGCATAAAAAAATATATAAATTATAGACTAAACTAAATTTTATTTTTTTTTGTCAAAAACACTCGTTTTTTTGTTATAAAAAATTAGTTTATAGTTTAGTTTTTAAAAAAAATAAATTATACATAAATAGTGTTAAGCCGTAGGCTTTTTTAATTATCAATGACTGTATTTTTATAATATTAAATAAATTTATTTTCATATTTACTTCATATATACTAAACATTTGTATTTTGTCTTTATATACAAAAAAAATTATTATTGATTATACAGACAATGAAAAAAAAATCAATAATTATTTCATTTAACTTTTTATTTGGAGTCAAATAATAGTAAAAATAATATATTAATAATTGTGATTTATTTAACAGTTTTTTTATTATTATTATTTATGAGATAATAATATATATTTTTGCCTCAAATACAGTAATATATTATACTTTCTATACTAACCTGTAGATACAGTATTACTATATATTGTTATTATTATAAATAGATAATAATTTTTTTTATCATTAATAACATTGTGTTTATTATAAATTACAATTTATTTATAATAAATGATCAGAAAATTTGTCATTTATTACACTTTATTTTCATTAATTATCATAAAAAATACTATTTTATTGAAAATTTTTTTTGGTTAATATTTAATACAGTAATTGATTATTATATTTATAATATTAATTAATATTAACATAAAATTACAATTTTTATTTATTATTAAAATTTTAAGAAAAGTTGTAACAAAATATATTTATTTCAAACAATTTTTAGTTAACACTAATTAATAACAAATAATAGTCAGAAATACAATATTATTATAAATAATTGAATTTATTTACTGTTTTAGTAAAAAAATAATTACATAATTAATATTTATTACAATAAAAATCTTATATATTTTTAATCCAAATAACAAACTGTTGGATAAAATTGTTTTATAAATAATTAAAGTTTTTATATACAGAAAGTAATAAAAGTATAACAAAGTATAGACTACTCTATAATCTAAACTAAAAATTTAATATTTATTAAAATATTTTATTCATTTGTTTGAAAAGAAAATAAAATTAGTATAAAATCTAATAAATTTAATTATAAATGAATTTCAAGTTTAACTTTGAAATTATTAATTGTAAAAATAGATTATAATTAATCAAAAAATAAGTATTATTTATTTCAAAAAATTTAATAACTAATTATAAAAACAAAAACAAAAGATTTATTTCAATATAAAAACTAATTTCTTATAAATAATGTCTAAAATAAAATTCAAAATAGTTTTAATACAGGAATTATTTTTAAAGAGATTTTTTGATATAAAAAATAAATTTTTATTTTAATATTATATAAGCTTTGAAATAATATATTTATTTATATATAAATATAAACTTTATGTCAATTAATAGTTTTTTAGTGTTTGTTCAGTGAATCGGGGAGTAAAAGACACGCTCAGGGATCTAAAGTTTTTGTATTTTTTTAAAATAAAACTAAATGATTAGTTGGATGTCTTAAATGCCAATTTAAATAGTGATTTAACACTAGAAACCAATATATATGTATTAAAAATACAATATATATATCAGTATTTCATGGGAACCGTCAGCTTTAGCTCAGGGTTTAGCTCTTTACCAGAGATTTGTTTGTTTTTTGTTGTTTTGTTTTGTCAATCAATAGTCATTGAATATAAAATAGTTGTCTAATAAGTCGTCTCAAAGAAAACTAAAAAAATTAACTTTAATTAACTTTAAATTAGAAATTATTTGATTATTTTAATTGAAGTAAAAAACTTATAAACAAATTATATATTATAATAATGTAATTAAAATTTTGTTAAGAAAAATATATTTCAATACTATTTATTATTTTTTTTTGTCAACTTTTATGATAATTGTTTAAAAAAATATATTTCAAAACAAATTAAATCATTTTATTTGTAAAAAACACATTAAAATTAAAGTGTTTTATAACACAACAGAATCTTAATAAACAAATATTTATTTATTATTATTTAATTTAAAACTTTATAATAAATATTTAGTTAGTATTTACAGTAAATCAAAAAAAAAATAATTAATTCATTTGAAAATTTTAAAAAAGTAATAAAATTATTTGAATTATAAATATTTTTGAGATTATTATCTGCAATAAAAAAATTAACTTACGATAAGAGATATGATTTGATTTACAATCAAACGATTAAATAAATATTTATATATATATAAAAAATTCGTAAAAAATTTATAAAAAAAAGTAATTAAATAACAAAAAAATATAACTCTTTTTTATAATTATATTATCACTGAATCTGATCTTCAGATGTAAATCATCTGAAGAAAAAAAACCACTGAATTTAAAAAATCAAATAAATCTCTTGAAAGAGATTATTGACCGTCAAATCGGGAATTAGTGGCCACAATAAAAATGGTCACAAAAAATAGCGATACAATTAAATGGCCACTAAATTCCCGATTTGAATGTCAAATAATCTCTTTAAAAAATTTATTTATTTTTGTAATAAATATTTTTTTTCTCTTAAATTCAGTGGTATTTTAAGTGATTTTTTTAATCAGAAGATTTACATTTGAAGATCAGATTCAGTGATAATATAATTATAATTTTTTTTGTTATTTAATTACTTTTATTTTTTAATAAATCCCGATTAGTCCCGACATAACTGCAGGATTCCCGTAATATAGTCGTGAAGTTTGTTTAATTAAATCCGACAATAGATGGCAACAATTGTCTCATTAGTTGTCAAATAAATGACAAACAAATGGTTTTTTAAAACAAAACAAACAAACAGTTTGTGTATTGAAAACCAAAAATCAAAATAACATTTAATTTTTTGTCACAAACTTTCGGTCCGTTTTTTTTAGAGACAATCGTTTAGTTATAGACATTAATTTTGGTGGAAAAAAGTACCGAATCTTCGGCCGAAACTTGTGTGTATATATCTCCCGATTTCTGACCGCCGCCGCTCCCGAAGCTATTTATACATTAGGACACGATGTCGGCGGACGTTGAGTGGACAAACAACGAGGCCAGTCGTTCAAAGGCGGCGATTGCGTCATTGAATTACGTTTCGGATCCTTTTGTCGGTTTGTTTTGTCGCGAATCCCCTCTGAAAAGGACACCCGAAATCAATCGCGGCTATTATGGCCGCTGCCGAGCCGTCAATCACGTGATTGACCAGTTTTGTCAGCGCGAGACGAGTCGGGCGCAAATCGTGAACATTGGCTGCGGTTTTGACGCTCTTTATTGGCGGTAATTATCTGTCATTGGATTAGTTAATCCGTGTTTTAATCCGCGTTTAATCCAATAGTTTGTGTCGAGAATCGCGAGAATTCTGTCGAGTGGTTGATGTGGACACCAATCAAGTCATCGCCGAAAAAGTCCACACAATCGACAAATGTCCAGAACTTTCCCGACTTTTGGACGACAAAAGCGACAGAAAAGGCGTTTGTCTTCATTCGAGTCGTTATCACGCCTTCGGATCCGACGCCACAAAAGGCCGACAACTGATCCACAGATTGACCACCGATTGCTCTGTGAAGACAACGGATCCGATTCTCTTTGTCTTTGAATGCGTTTTACTTTATTGGACACGTGACCAGACTCAGACTCTCGTCAGGACTTTGGCCACTGGTTTCCCGTCGGCGACGTTTGTGGTCTTCGATGTCATCGGAAAGGGAGACGCCTTTTGTCACGTGATGAGGGAATCGTTGTCTTTAAGAGAAACGCCTTTATTGGGAAGCGAAACGACTCTCGAAGACTGGAAACAGACTTTCCTTTCAAACAGTTGTCTTCACGTCAAGGCATGGGATATGAGAACTGTTTATCAACAGTTGTTGGACTCCAAAGACAGACAAAGAGCCGAAAGTCTCGAGTTTTTGGACGAAACGGAACTTTTGGAACAACTTCTTCAACACTACTGTCTTGTCGTTGCGTCGAACTATTGGGCCGTTCAGTGGTAACAATCAATGTATTTCTCTGTGTATTTGTTGTATAAAAAAGTACCAAAAATTCAATGTTTTGTTTTTCGGTCGTTCAGACCGTCCGTCCGTCCGTCCGACCACTCGAAAGCACTTCCTGTTCCGTCCTTTCGAAAGATCTCAGAGTCGACGACTGAGTAGTGACTAAAGTAAAGAGTGGTCTCTGAATCGATTGATTCCGTATTCAGTGGACGGAATTGGCGGACAATTGATGACCAGATTAATGAACCGAAATGACTGATTTGCGGGGACTTGCGGTCAGTTTTGTCAGTTCAAGTGTCCTTCAGAGAAATGGTGACTCAGAGGACGTGTTTGTTGTATAAAAGGCGTGTCTTTTGTATAGAAAAGGCGTTTCTTTGTCCTTGAAATTGGATTTTGAGTTCATTTCCTCATTGATTACGCATTCGTTCTGTAGTTTTGAAAACAGTTTTGAATTTCAAGAAATATTTTGATTAAAAACTCATTAAAAATGTCGGAAATGTCGGAAACGGTCGACAAAAAGGTCAGTATTTTCGACATTCAGTGACTGTCTGTCTAACCATTTGTCCATTTAGTCGGGAATGTCGTCTCAAAGTGTTTGCGAAAACGATTTGAAACAACGTCTGAAACAGTCATTCGAAGCGCACTATTCTTCGGCCGAAGGAATCGTTTTACAACTTCTGCCGCAATATCGACCGCCGAAATGGATGTCTTGGAAGCGATTGCTAGTCTTATTGATCAGCATTTCGATGGCAATCGGTCTTCTGGTGTTTCTATTGATTCCGAAATCCGGATTTCCGTCTGAATCGCAACTAATATCTCAACATTCGCAACAATCGGCCGTTTTGTCGCAATCTCTCGCTCTGCAGGCCGACCCCACCACCACCACAACCACAACAACAATACCTCCGGTCCGGGATCTACTGATAACAGTGGTTGCATTGAACGCCACGGTTCCTCAAATGGACAAAACCTGGTTTTCCCAAAGAGCCGACGCTTACGTCGAACTCTGTGTTCTGGAAGGAACGCGATTGCGCCGAATCGGACGATCGCCGGCCGACCAGAACACCCGATCGCCGAAATGGAATTATATGTTCGATCACGAGACCAGAGTCCGATCGGACGCCATCTTGCAGTTCGAATTGATAGACAAAGACCGATGGAATGCCGACGAATCCATTGCCAAAGTTTTCGTCAAATTAGACCAATTGGTGGCCGAAAAAGACGGAAACGGAAGAGTGGAATCGCGTCCATTCAAATCGGGAAGAATCTGGTTTACCGTTCATTGGCGGGAAGTGTTGGCCGACTATTGAACGACAATTTTTGTCAATAAATTCTAGTTTTTTATCTGTTTTTTAAAATGAATCAGAAATTGATTTCTCAGAACTCGAGAATCGCGAAGAACTCTTCGGTTTCGGACTCTTCGGTTCGGTTATTATATCGCACGTGATTTACGCACAAGAAATAGGGTTTGAATTGAGTTCTCAATTGTTTTATCGAAAATAAAATAAAAGTTTTTTAACAAAAAACAAAACAAAACTTTGATTTCATTTAAATCTTTTGATTTTTAGTTTCGGTTTTTGAAATAAAAAAGTCCGCTGTCTGTCATGTCTTCAAATAAAATGGACGAAATTGTCGGCCAATTGTTCGCCGAATTCAATCAATTGATTGGTTTTTTTTGGACAAAATCATTTGTGTGATTGACTGCCATCTGATGTCTGGTTTTGGCTCTAATGGTGTAATCGTCTCGAGATATGACTCCAAAAACCAATAGTCGTTTGTTTTGTTGAAGAAGACGTCCAATCATTTGATTGTTTTGTTTTAAACTTTGATTAGTTTTTTGGGAAATGACTCGAAAAGTGATGAAAAACTTGAGAATCAGTCTATTAAAGGACAGACATCTGAAAAGGTTAGTCAAAAAAAAGTTTGTTTTTCTATCAATCGTTTGAATCAATAAATACTTGAATGAAATGTCTTTAGAGTAAGAGTTTTTTGTTTTGAAACTATTTCTGACTATAACTTGAGAATCAGTCTCTTAAAGGACAGACATCTGAAAAGGTTTGAAATTAAGTTTTTTTTTCAATCGTTTGAATCAATAAATACTTGAATGAAATGTCTTCAGAGTAAGAGTTTTCTGTTTATTTTCAAACTATTTCTGATTTCACTATAACTGATCCAAAAAAAAACTATTCATTCAATCAGATCGTTATCAGTGGCAGCGGCGGCGGCCAGAGTACTGTTTCTGGGCGGCAAATCGGTCGGCAAAACCACTTTATTTGCTAGTCGTCGGAATCAAGAGGTCTCTTCACATGAAGACAATGACGACGACAGTTCATATCAACTCAATGTTTCTGTCGATGGCAAAGAGGATCAGCTGTTGCTAGTGTTAGACATGTTACATGACTTGCAAAATATAAAGACGTTTGTTTGGGCCGTTTGTCCGAAAGTCGTAGTCATTGTTTACGACATAACAGTCGGCCAAACGTTGACCGATGCGGAAACAATACTGAAGAAAATCCAAAAACTGGTTGTTTGGCGCCTATTGGTGGCCAACAAGTCGGACTGCGGCGGCGATTCTGACCAATCGGTCAGCTTAGAGAATGGACGACAATTGGCCGACAAATACGGAACTGAATTCCTCGAAGTGTCCGCACTGACCGGTCAACATGTGGACGATTTGTACAAATTGATTGCACGACTGGTTAGCGATGACAATCCGCAGATCCCGCAGATGGCGGCCATCAATCCCGAGACGGGATCACCACATCCATCACTGGATACTCTATCGGACACATCTGAACTTAACATTTCCGGAAGTTCTTCGTCAGGATCCGATCCCAAACAGGATATCGATATTATTGAGTAATTAAAAGTCAACTAATTATTAATAATTCATTTATTAATTAATTTTGAATAGAAATCCGATTATTAACTGATTGTAAAAAAATGTTTTTTTGATTACCGATTGATAACTATTTTTTTTTGTTTAATTTACCGACAATTGAATCAATTATTGAATTATTTAATCAATTATTTAAATAAGATTTGAATTGAGTTCTCAATTGTTTTATCGAAAAAAAATAAAAAATATTTTATTTAAATTTTTAGTCCGTTTTTGAGGTAAAAAATGTTTAAACTATTTATGGATTAATTAATAGAAAAAAGTACCAAAAGTTCTGTTTTTTATCGTCTAATGTGTCGCAAGAGTTCCGAATTGCGGTCGAAATCCATTCGCAAAGTGTGTCCACTTTTACGAGAGGCCAGGAATGCGGCGCCAAATGCCGAACTAGTGGTCAGCAGTCGGAGAGTCAGTTCGTGGAGTTCGGGCGTCAAAGCGGACAAAAAGCCTGTGATTTCGGGGATTAAAACGGGATTTAAAGAGAGATTAAAGTGATTTGAATACCGGGTTCGAGAAGAGACCAACTCTTGAATACAGATCCGACACAAACCACAGATAATCCATTCTTCAGGAGTGACTGAAAAACAAAACCGAGATTTTTGAGGAGTTTTTGTTTGTGTTTTGACTCACGGCTTGAGCTTTGGGTAGAATTGCGTTCAAATGTTCGGCTAAATCTTGTCCGGCTTTGAAGAACAAACTGGCGGCCAATTGGTCTCCGTCGGCGGCAACTGAGAGACACAATAGGATTATTATTGGATTATTATTGGATTAAAATTGGATTAAAAACGAAACAAACGTTTGGCTAAAGATTTGGAAATTGAGGCGAAAAACGATTTATCGAACTCCGCGTAAGCCGGACGCAAAATGGCCGCCAAATTGTCGTCGGGAAGACCGAAGTGTTGGACAACGAGTTGGCGGACACGCGAAGAGTCGGGAGAGTCAATGGTCTGACGGAAATTGTCTTCGGATTCGAGAACAGAGCGAACGGCGGAATTGGCGATCGAAATACCGGCGCCTATAGAGAGAGAGTGTTAGTGTCAAAGGTCAAAGGTCAGCGAGAATACCGTAATCTCCAAGCAGATGACCCCAACCGCCGCATTTGGCTGAAGACCCGTCGGCGTTGAAGAGCAGACAATTACTGCCGGTTCCTGAGATTAAAGGGATTAAAGGATTAAATGGATTCAATAGAAGACTGACCGGCAATGAGAACGACTCCTCCGTCGGGAAAACAGGTGAACAAAGATCCCATTGTATCGGAAGCGACCAAACAGTGGTCGAAGAGTTCGGGAAACTGATTGGAAAAGTCGGAACAGAGTTTCTGGTTTTGATTTTGATCTTCACATCCACTCAGACAAAGACCGACGGCTTTAATACGGGTTTCGGTGGACAAAGAGGCCGAACGGAGAAGCGATTGGATTAACGAATGAATTCGAAGGAAACATTCCTTTTGACCGATCATCTGATCAATGGATCAATTAATGGATTAAATGGAGTAAAACAGTGTCCAAGACTTACCCAATGATTGGTCGAAGGACCAGAGTCTTCTTTGGCCAATACCTGTCCATCAGAGTCGAGGAGAACGGCTTTGGAGAAGGAGGCGCCCCTAAAGAGGGAGAGAGTGAGTGATCGGGAGTTGGAATCCGATTGAATGGACAAACCCTTCGATTCCGACGAAAAAAGACATTTTCTTTTGAACTGATTTTTTATCGCATTTCTTAATCTGTTTTTAGAGATAACTGTTCTCTAAAAGAGAGTGACAGAGAGTGTCGTCACCAGAGAGTGACGTCAGAGTCACGTGCGGATCAAAGTATAGGTATTTCGTGTTTTAAAAGACGTGTTTTTCTTCTAAAAGTCATGTTTTCTGAAGGCTTCGGGCGACGGAAGGCCGGCGGCAGTCATGAATTGGAAGGATGTGTTGGAAGTGTTTGTTGTGTCGGATGTTCTGATGTTCTGATGATCTAATGATCTGTCAATTTGTTTCAATCAATGGATTTCCGGATTAAACACTAATTGAATGTTTGTTTTGTTTTTCAAACAAAAAACAATTGATTTTAATTGACTTTAATTACAAACAATTGAATCAAATGTCAAAACAAATTGAAAACTTCCGCAACTCTTGTCTTCCGATGTCTTCATTGATTGTCTGCAAAATGGATTCGTTTCGGCAAAACTGACCGAAAAAAAAACGGAGAAATGTTTTGTCTCCGCATGTCTTCGGCGATGATATTGAGAGCTCTGAAGACGCGGACAAACACTCGGAAGACGAGACACGAGATGCGCAGGTCGTTGCAAAAGACGGCCTTTTTTTAGATGTAGAGATTGTATGCAAACTGTTAGCAAATTATAGACACAAAAAGTGCCAAATGTTTGACAAAAGCAAAGATGAAAAAAGCGCTGAAAACAGATCTCTTGGAAGCATACTTAAAAGGGCCAATCAGACAGGCGTTATAACAGTACATGTAGTCTAACGCTTAGTAGATAATACTATACAGTATTAATAGTGTAAAATAAAATGCACTAAATATTATAGTCAGAGTTGCCATAAACAAAAAATACTCCTATGTTTTATTATAAAAATTATATTATTGATTATTTTAAGAGGAAAAATGGACATTTCTATACAAAAATATTAAGACGTATATAAACATGTGAAATTTTAATAATATTTAACTAAAAAATTAAATAAATAACTTATAAATAAATAAATTGTGCAGTAAGTTATAAATAATAAAGTTAAAATTAAAAATATATATTAAAAACTGTTATACTGTAATATGTATTAATTATAGTGAATTAATAAATGTATTAAAATAATAATTAATTAATTAATTAAATACTCTTTCCCTATAAAATTACATACATACACATACACATACACATACACATACACATACACATACACATACACATACACATACACATACATATACATACATACACATACACATACACATACACATACACATACACATACACATACACATACACATACACATACACATATACATACACACACACACACACATACACACACATACACACATACATACATACACACACATACATACACACATACATACACACACACATACACATACATACACATACATACACACACATACATACACACACATACACACATACATAAACACACATACACATACACACACATACATACACACACATACATACACACACATACACACATACATACACACACATACACATACATACACACACATACATACACACACATACATACACACACATACATACACACACATACACACATACATACACACACATACACACATACATACACACACATACACATACATACACACACATACATACACACACATACATACACACACATACACATACATACACATACATACACACACATACATACATACATACACATACATACACATACATACATACATACATACATACACACACACAGATAAAGATAGATAAATAGATAGAGAGACAGAGAAAGAGAAAAAAAGATTGTTATCAATGAATTTAATAGTGATGCTACTCAAAAAGTTGAAAAATACGAGTTTATTGAATTAAAGCTGTTTTCTGATGACCATGAAGACGATTTTTCATTAAATGGATTTGTAATAATAATAATTGAATTAAGCGCTAGAAGTATATTTTGTACTATAAAAAATAAAATTAAGAATACATATATTATTTTGTTTTTATAGGTAATCCAATAATTACTGGATATGCGAAAATAAATAACCAAACGTTTAACTCAACAACACGTTTGTTTGTATTGGGTGGAATTGATGTACCTGAAGCAGATCTAAAGTTTGATGATATTAATGTTGAATTTCGACATCATTTATCTACAAAGCAATATGCAAACTTTATACCAAATGGGCAAAAAACTCCAACTGGAATAGCGTTATTGTATAGTAAAGAAGATATACTTTCTCTAAAACTAAATGACAAACATCGGGAAATTAAAATTACTAAAGAATGGGAAATAATAATTAAAAAGACAATAATTGATTTAATTGTTGTCGGAAGACGAGCTGTATATGATAAATGTTTAATTTTTGAAACAATTGTACCAAAATATAAAAATAAGTTTTATCTACTAAGAGATTATGATGAACCCTGGAAAAATGATTACAGTTTAAGTCGTTGTTCTCAGTTAACCGAACCGTTTATACCAGATATATTTAGATTAGGAACACCAACACCTAATGATGTAAATGATTGTTCATTGACATCTTATAAAATAAACTTACAAAATATTAACAAAATAACACCTCATTTAATAAAAATAATACCTAATTTGCCAATAAATACTGGTGTCTGTTCAGGAAATGTTGAGCCTAATGAATATGAAAGTATTATTACTGATTTAGTTATTTCAGATATAAATGCAAGTGTAAATTTAGCAAGATCAGATCAGTGTACTGATAATTTAAGAAGCAATGATGAAAATTATTTAGAATCATTAATAATTGCAAATGAAAGACTAGAAAATATGTTTGAAAAAACATATGAACCTTGGTTATCTGTTGAAAATTTTGATTATAAATGGATAGATATTATTAACGCTAAACATCCTAAAATGATGCCATTAAATACTTTGAGAAATAATAAACTAATACAATCCTGGTTTATGTATGACATTGAGCATGATACATATTATTGCAGAATATGTAGTAAATATGTAAAGGAATTTGCAATTGACAAAAGAAATTTGCCAAATGTTGCAGATATTCCAGGCCAATTAATTGATAATTATGATACAAATTATAAAATAATATTGAACCATCATAAAACAGTTGTTCATACAACAATTATTAATAAATTAAAACAATATGGAGTAGAAAAAATGAATAATTATTTTATTGATATTCAAACAAAAAAAGATATTCAAAAAATAGAGGTAGCAGCAACAAGTAGAATGTTTAGAATTGTATATACTGAAATTATAACTAACTTGGCATTTAATCAACATAAAACAATAGTTGATTTAGAAAAAACACATAATGTGAAACTTGGATCTTATTTATCCAATAATGTTGCTGCTACTGAAATTGCAATCTCTATAAGTAATCAAATGCATTTAAAACTAATTGATTATTTAAAAAGTAAGAACAAACCAGTAGGAATTATTTTAGATACATCTACTGACCATCAATCTGATCATTACGTTTCTGTATTATTTCAAACTATTGAATATACTAGACCTATGATTTATTTTTACCGTTTAATACCCCTTGGGTTGGATGCTTCTGCTTTATCAATTTTTAATGCTATTAAAGAATACTTAGATCATGACGAACTTACAGAATATATAAAACTAAATCTAGTAAGTTATTCATCAGATGGTGCAAATGTAATGAAAAGTAAATCAGGAGGGTTAGTTAAATATTTTATTGATTTAATTAAGCCAAATGTTTTGTTTCAAACTCATTGTGCAGCACATAAGCTTGAACTAGCTTTAACTAAATCATTACATATTCATAGTTATTTTAGTGATTTTGAGGATACAATAAACGATCTACATAATTTTTTTTATTCTCATTCACCAAAACGCTTTGCTGTTTTAAAAGACCAGGCAGAAATATTAAATATGAGATTATATAAATTATTAAAAATATATGAAATACGCTGGGTAAATGGTTATTATAATGCTATTGCAAACGTTAAAAAAGATTGGAAAATTTTATTTTCTGCATTTAATTTTATTTTACAAAATCCTAAGATTTTCACAAAAAAAACAATGCATACAGCTGGTCAATATAAAAATATAATTACTAATAAAAATTTCTTAGCGATATTACATTTTATTGAAGATATTATGACACATTTAAAAAAATATTCTCGTTATTTTCAGTTAAAAGGGTCAAATGTAATTGGTAAAAAAACAACTATTACTAATTTAATAAACGGATTATCAGAATTAATAGAAACAGATGGCCAAATATTAAATGAGTTTTTAAGTGTTGTTAATTGTAAAGATAACTTATTGAAAAAATGTTCACTTTCATTATATGAGACTAACATAGATATAAAATATATGGCTGTTGATCTAAATAATTTTCAAATTGAAATTCCTAAGTTATCAGAAGTTCGAGAAATATTATTAAAAACAATGATTGATGAAATCAATAATTGGTTTCCATTAAAAGAAATAGAAATGTTTGATATATTTGAACCTAAGTTAATTCCTAGACCACCAAGTATTAATCCTGAATACGGTTATGATGAAATAAAAAGTATTCATAAATATTTTAAATGGAATTCTGATATTAATGTATTATTATTAAATTGGAAAAATTTATTGGATAATATGTATAAATTTGAACCTCTTTGGTGTGATGTTGCAACTAAATCAAGTCATATTTTTTGGTCTGAGTTTTTAAAACTTGATAATCTCTGGACAAATGATGTAAAACAATTAATAGAAACTGTTTTATCAATATCATTTTCAAGTGCAGATAGTGAAAGAAGTTTTTCTTATCTTACACAATTTCAAAGAACACGTTATAATATAAAATTTTTAACTTTAGATGCGTTAATACGTGTAAAATTTAATGCACCAATGGAAGTTTCCAGATTTCGTTCTCATGAATATGCTTATAACTGGATATTTATAGATGGTAAACTTCCAGCTGATAGTCATGATACAATTATTGAATCTATTGAATTTGATGAGGAAACAGACCCAGAAAAAATATACTTAGACCATTCTTCTCTGTTTTAGTTTATTTTTAAAAAATAATTGTAACATTAATTATAAAAACTTTTTTTTAATATATAATTATGCATAAAATAATTATATAATAATATTATAATAAGTGTAATAGTAATAGTAATAGTAATAGTAATAGTAATAGTAATAGTAATAGTAATAGTAATAGTAATAGTAATAGTAATAGTAATAGTAATAGTAATAGTAATAGTAATAGTAATAGTAATAGTAATAGTAATATTATTATTATAATAGTAATATACAATAGTAATATATTAATATTATATAATGTCTATAAATATTATAATAACTATGCTTATTGTTAACAGTATTTTTATTATTTAATTATTAAAATTTATCAAATATTATTTAAATATATTTAAAAGTATGTATTTAATTCAAATAAATGTTAAAAATAAATATTTAAAAAATTGAAATTTCATTATTTTTTTGTGTGTAGTTATAATTTTGTTAAATATTTATACCAAATTTTTGCTATTACTGTTTTATTTGAATAAATAAATAATTTTTAATTTAGGATAAAATTTATAAAAAGTAAGAATTGTTTTATTATCCGACATATGCTAAAAACTAGAGACACTTAACTCGGGGGCGGGCCTGGAAAGGCCTCCTGAGGGGGAGACCATGTGAATCTAGTTTTTATCAAATTTTATTTAATAAAATTACTAATAATTTTTTGTTTTATATTTTTTATACATTTTTCAGATATTATAATTAACCATGTGACTGCTATATTAAAATATATCAATATAAATTGTAAGTAATTATTGATATTATTTTTATAATTAATTTTAATAATAACTGTATTGTATTTATTTTATTGATATTATTTTTTTTATAGTTGGCAACTCTACTTAGTATAACGCTATATGGAATCACACTTTTAATACTGCTTGGAAGACATCTAAAGATTAAGACGTGAATAAAGTTTTGACAGAAATTCGAGACAAAGAGTGGAATCGCTTCTTCGGGGAAATGACGGGAAAAAAGTCGGTCAAAGAGTCGGAAAAAACGTGAAATTCAAGAAAACATGTTTTTTTTTTTGAGAAAATCTCTTCGAGTTTTCGGATCTTTTAATCGAATTAAAAGACAAAAAAACAGAAGAAATTGTTTTTTTTTATAAAAGAAAAGTCAATTAGAAATCGATTAACAAATAAAAAGTCAATAAATGTTTGAAAGTTTTGTTGATTTTAAAACTCGTTTTTCAACAAAAATTTTGACACAATTTTTTCGGTTCAGTCGTTGACCTCTTTTTCTATGAAATAAAACAATCAAAACATTGAAGACATTTGACTTCAAAGAAGTGAAACAATGCTCTACTTCGGGCCCCTCTGGGTTCTGGTGCGTCGCCTCCTGCGTCTCCAAAGACACGAAACCCGTGAAGACTATGAAGAAGAAGAAGATAATAAGCAAATTGTGGAAGTGTTGGACTGTTTGCCGAAATTCCAAGATTTTGTCCACTCTTTAGACGTTTCGATAGCTTTGAGCGCGAATTCAAAAGTCTTCGGAAAGACTTTGAAACGAATCCAAAGACTTGACAAACATTTAAAAGAATTGAATGTCAAATATCTTCAATGTTTTGATGGAATAGTTTTGAGACAAACTCTCAAACGATTACCACTTCTTCAGAGTCTTTCATTACGTCTTAATGTCTTGTCTTTTGAAGATTTGTCGCAATTATTGTCTGATTTGGACTCAAATTGTCTGCAATTTCTGGAAATCACTTTAAATTCTGTTTATATTTCAGAATCCAATCCGAAAACAACTCTTCCGTCAATTGGAAGACTCCGAAGACTCCGAGTCTTTTCACTGACCGTTCTTTCGGCTGAAACTTCGCGTTTCTCAGTGGACGAGACGTTTTTCGGCGACTTTTGGCCACTTTTGGAGTCGATATCAGTTCCGAACGTTTGTTTAAACGAAGGTTTGGTTGAATTGTTGGCGAAAAACAAGAGTTTAAAACTCATAAAACTTTCGAATAATTGCCAAAAAATGTCTTCAAATAAAATGGACGAAATTGTCGGCCAATTGTTCGCCGAATTGAATCAATTGATTTGTTTCGAAGTCGACGAAGAAGTCTTTGTTCGTCAAGAAACTGATGGAAAACCCAAACGACAGTTGTTTTCAATGAATTAATTGTTTTTTATTTTAAATAAAATACGAGTTTTTTAATCACTTTTTTGGACAAAATTTTTTCTGACAAAAGACAGTTTGAAATCATTTGTGTGATTGACTGCCATCTGATGTCTGGTTTTGGCTCTAATGGTGTAATCGTCTCGAGATATGACTCCAAAAACCAATAGTCGTTTGTTTTGTTGAAGAAGACGTCCAATCATTTGATTGTTTTGTTTTAAACTTTGATTAGTTTTTTGGGAAATGACTCGAAAACTGATGAAAGACTTGAGAATCAGTCTATTAAAGAGTCGACACATAAAAAGGTTTGAAATTAAGTTTTTTCTATCGTTTGAATCAATAAATACTTGAATGAAATGTCTTTAGAGTAAGAGTTTTTTGTTTTGAAACTATTCTTTCAATCAGGTCGTCATCGGCGGAAGCGGCGGCGGCCAGAGTTATGTTTCTCGGCGCCAAATCGGTCGGCAAAACCACTTTATTTGCTAGTCGTAGGAATCAAGAGGTCTCTTCACATGAAGACAATGACGACGAGAAATACATGACCAAAGTTTCTGTCGATGGAAAAGAGGATCAGTTCTTAATATTAATCGACATTAAAGATGATATCAACAGTAGTTTACATACTTTCGTTTGGGGTATTAAACCGAAAGTCGTAGTCATTGTTTACGACAAAACAGTCGGCCAAACGTTGACCGAAACCGAGTCTATACTGAAAAGAATCGAAAAATTGTCGGTTCGGCGTCTCTTAGTGGCCAACAAGTCGGACTGCGGCGGCGATTCTGACCAATCGGTCAACTTAGAGAATGGACGACAATTGGCCGACAAATACAAAACAGAGTTCTTGGAAGTGTCGGCACTGACCGGTCAAGGCGTAGATATTATGTACAAAACAATAGCGGGACTCGTCTCTAGTGATCCGCAGATCCCGCAGATGGCGGCCATCAATCCCGAGACGGGTTCGCCTCATCCATCACTCCGATACTCTAACGGACACATCTGAACTAAACATTTCCGGAAGTTCTTCGGCCGAATCCGATCCCAACCAGGATATCGATATTATTGAGTAATTAATTAATTAATTGAATAGAAATCCGATTAATTAATTGTAAAATAATGTTTAAATTAATTATTTATTTATTTTTTTTGATTACCGATTGATAACTATTTATTTTGTTGTTTAAATTTACCGACAATTGAATCAATTATTGAATCAATTGATGACAACTTTCGGCGAAAGAGTTGTTTTCAATGAATTAATTGTTTTTTGTTATAAAATACGAGTTTTTTTTTGAATCAATGAATTAGTCGTCGAAAAGAAATTTTTTTTAAAATAGTTTTTTTAATCACTTATCAATTGATCACAACTGTCGGCGCCATCTGTTGGCCACTGATTGCAGACGCCATCTATCGGTCGAAACGTTTTGAAAACAGAAAAACGCTTTTCATTTCAAAAAAAGACATTATTTTTGTCCACTTTTTCCACCGAAAAAAATGTCGGCCAAAACTGTACCGAAACAGCAATCGTCGACCAAACAGTCCAATGAACAGATTATCGGCGGATTCAATGAGTTGCGTCAAGAACAGCGACAAGTGGCCAACAAAGTGGCCGAATTGGAAGCAGATCTCACGGAACACAAGTAATCCATTCATTCAATTGATTTTGTGGTCAGAATTCAAAATCGGGAATTTTCTATAGATTAGTGACGGAAGCGTTGGCCGAAGTGGACGGACAGCGAAAGTGTTTTCGAATGATTGGCGGAGTTCTTGTCGAACGAACGGTTGCCGAAGTGTTGCCGTCGTTGCAGAAGAACAAAGAAATGGTAAGACATTGAGGAAGAAGACAATTGTCTAATGAATTGATTTCTTCTTCAAAGATCTCTTCACTCATCGAAACATTGAAACAACAAATCATTCAAAAAGGACAACAAATTACTGAATATATGGATAAACACGGCATTCAAGTCCGCTCTCAGCCGACGGCCGGCGACGACAACAACAAAGCCGGCGACCAGAAGGCGGTCGTCGGCGGCGAGAGTTCGGGAGTTTTGGTCTAAAAAAACGATTTTTATTTAAATAAAGAGATTTTTTTGTGATAATTGTTTTGATTGTCGACTGAAAGACACGACAGACGGCGCCACCGGTCGCGGCAATGGCGACGCAACAGACGACGACCTCTTGTTCTTCGTCTTCGAGTTCTTATTCTTCGACTTCTATTAGCAGTTCTTCCGCGTATTTGTTGGTCGATTCGGGCGCCGCTCTCGCCAACAGAAAGTTTGCCAAAGATGTCGATTCAGTGATAGCCAGAGCTCGCGATTCAGGTATTAATCATTTGAATGATTGACTGATTGACTGACTGTCCGTTTGTTTCGGAACTAAAAAGGCGTTCAAAGAATAGTCGTTCGAACGACGAATATTCAGTCAACAAAAGACGGATTAAGACTTTCCCGACTTTTTCCCGGTTTGTCTTCAGTTTTTTTAATCTGTTTTTTGTCGAAAATAACGGTTTGTTTTCTCAGAAACTCTTGTTTGCGCCGCAGGTTTGGTCTCAAAAATATCATTAAGTTTTTTACCGAATATTTTGATCCGAATTCAGGACTTTCTGCTCACGAAAGCCGTCTTTGGAATCGAGAAACTGAACAACAAATCGAAGGTTTGTTTCGATCTTTTGATCACTTTTTTTACCGAAAGTTTTTGCAGACGTTTTACGCGCCGAAGAATGCGTTGCAATCGGCGATTGTGGACTCGATTTTTCGCGGGATTTCTCGCCAAAAGACACCCAATTGGATGTGTTGCGGTGTTTGGCCACTTTAGCCGATCGATTGACGACTGAAGGACTTCCGCGCGCTCTTCTTGTCCGACAAAACGGCGCTCACGAAGAACTGTAAGTCTTTTTCTGTTAATCTGTTTTTTAATCCGTTTTTAATCCGAAAAAGAGTCGGAATTTTACGCGAATTTTGTTCTCGAATTCCAATTGTGGTTTCGTTTCGCGGATCAGAAGTCGAGGCCAAAGAGTATCTGTCTTTCGGCGCATTTTTGTCCATTTCTTCGGTAAAAGAGGAATCAATTCAACGATTAATTCAAACCCAAGAACTTCCGATTCAAAGAATTCGTTTGTTTTTATTAATAATTAAAATAATTGAATGATTAATGAGTTTTTCCGCAGTTTTAATGTCTGATTCTCCGTTTCAATGTCCGAACCTAAGAAGTCCTCGAATTCCCGAAACGGCCAGAACGGCTCTCACCGGTCGCTCCATGTCTTTTGTCAATCGGTAAAACGGATTAACGGATTAACTCTTTGTTCTTATATTTATTTCTATTGTTTTGTTAGTTACTGCACTTTCGCGCGGAACGAGCCGTGTTCTGTGTCCGCTTTGGCCGAACTGGTGGCCGGCCTTTCGGGTCAATTGGCCGAAGAAGTGGCTCTTCAGACGACATTCAATGCGTTGAAAGTTTTGGGTCTTTCAGTCAAATGAAAGAATTGTTTTTGAGATTAAATCTTTGGATCAAATGATGGATTGTTTTCAAAATTCATTTCTCGAGACAACAATTATTTTCATTGATTTTTTGCTGACATTTAAAGAGAGAGAAAAAGAGTGACGAAAAGCAGACTTTTCAGGCGTTTCTCTTCATTAGAGAGCCTTTTAGTAGTCTTTCAGAGGTTTTCAGAGGTTTTAGTAGTGTTTCAGAGGTTTGGGTGCGGTTTTAGAGAGAGAGGAACGACGGATCCGCATTCTGCAGACACACCCGACACGCGCGCGAACTAAGGCGGGGCTGTTATGTGAGAGAGAGTTGTTGTGTCACAGAAGTCGTCGAAGTTTTTATGGTTTTGTTGTTCTGAGTGTCAAGTGTTTGAGTGTTTGGAGTTTTTCGAGAGTTTTTCGACGACAGGACCACCACTTAGCAGCTCAGGTAGCTATAGAGCTGGTGCTGGTGGTGAGCGCGACGTGGGAGGCACTGCAGCCTCAGGCAGAGCAAAGAGACAGTGATTTCGCGACACTTTATTGCCTGAGAAGCGATTCAAAGATTATTTCATAAAAAATTACTCAATGAATGCTTTTTCCATAGAATTATCTGTTTTTTTACTAATTGTCTGATTTCTACTGATTTCTACTGATTTTTCAGTTGATCCCTGAGCTATACCTGAGCTATACCTGAGCTATACCTGAACTATAGCTGAACTATACCTAACTATATGTGTGTAGATCTCACGCGCGTCGAGTCGTATAGTGGAAGCGCGTGATTTCCGTTCACGACTTTTACTATGATTTCAAAACTCATTCATAAAGTCGTGACTTTTGAGCGAAAATTAAAACAAAAAACTTTTTGAAACGCTTTTTATTCATTAAAATTCATTCAATATTTACACGAATTTTACACAAAAAAACACAAAAACTATTATTAGTCTTAATGTTCGACATCAACGTCTAAGACGTCTTCTTCTTTGGTTGAATTATCGTCAGCTGATCCGTGGGCTTTGCGGCACTCGGCGTCGCAGAATCGGGAAGGCGAGGGAAGACCTCCTTGAGTCGACTGATTGTGAGTCAATTGATGTCTTCTGAGATCACAATTACGGCGAAAGACTTTCCGACAATCTCTGCATTCGAATGGTTTGATATCCGTATGCGTCAACAGATGTGTCTTCAGATTCGATCTCTGGTTGAAAGCGCGACCGCATTGCGGACACTTGTGCGGCGAATCGTCCAAATGGAGGATTCGGTGAACGGCCAGAGTTCGCGACTGACAAAACCCTTTTCCGCAATCCAAACATTTGAACGGCTTTTCCTTCGAATGAATGTATCTATCGATTCACCGATGGATTAGTCGGGAATAACGGGATAAACGGGATATTTGATGTCATACCTGTGGTCTCTGAGGTGATCCTGGCGTCGGAACGCCTTTCCGCAAATATCGCAAGTATAGGGTCGTTCGTCGGTATGCGTTCTTTCGTGGATTAAGAGATTATAGCTTTTGGTGAATCTTCTTTGACAGTATTTGCAAATAAACTCCTTTTTCGGTCGTTGGCCTCGACCTGCGCGGGCGTACTTGCGGGCCAACAGTTCCAGACCAGAACCGGGAAACAGAGTTTGTTGTGGTGGGGGTGGGGGTGGGGGTGGGGCGGATCGTCCTTTCGGGTCGCAGATTCGGCCAAACGAGCAAAATCGAATTTCCGCTTTGTTGACGTCGAGGTGTGGGTGGAGGTGGGGGTGGCGGAGGAGGCGGGAGTGTTGTGGTGGTTGTGGTGGTGGGCGACGGGAGGCGCGATAAGTGGTGTACGACAATTGGCGAGCCATGGCAGCCAAAGAGGCGATAATAGCGGCAAAGGAGGCGTCAATGGGGAAAAGGAGGCGACGAATGGCGACGAAAAAGGAGGCGGAAAATGAGTGGCGTTTCTCAAGGCATTCGATTTGTCTTTTGGTTTTCGGATTAAAAGTCGGAATTGGATTAGAATTCAGTTTTTGGATTAGAATTTAGAAAAGATTTCTTTGGATTAATCAATGAATGAATGAATGAATGAATGAAAAAGCGATAAAAGGCTTGAAATTTGCGAATAATTTTGAACCTATAGTTCACGCGATCTCTCAATAAATGTATTGTTATTTAGATTTTTTGAATTCATTTCGAAATTAATTCTAATTTTTGCAAAAATTTTCGATTTTCCGAACATTTTTCGGAAAATTCGGGAAAATCTGCAGAAAATCTGCAGAAAAAGTGTATTTTTTCTGAAATAAAAAGCGTTTCTAAGATACGAGTTGTCGAGTGTTTGACAGAAATGTCGGTTTTGTTTGAAGTTTTCAATGATTTGTCGGAAAAATTGCGACAAAAAAGAGATGAAAAGCGAAGCGAAAGACAACAAAAACTACTGATTATTTGGTAATCATTTGACTTACGATTAGATTAGAAATTGTTTGAAAGAAACCAAAGAAAACGGAAAAAACGTTTGCATTGAATGAAAGGTTTGCAAAGAATCGGCGAAAAAGTGGTCTAAAAGTGAGAAAAAGAATAAAAGTCTTACCGAAGAGACGCGAAGGATCGTCCATTTGGACCATTGGATCAGTCAGTAGTCAGTGGTGTTTAGTGGTAGGAATCGGTAGTCTTTGGTCTTTCGGTAGTCGCGAAACAGTAGTCTCTGTTGTGAACACAGAAACCAAAAACAACTGAAACTGTTTTTCTGTGCGTTATTGGAGTCACTCTTCAGACATAGAGCTTCTCAGTTACCAAACGAACGGACGTCCTCTCGGAGGAGGAATTGGTTGAATGGCAAACCCAAATGGACGTCCCATTCAGTCAGTATATCGTGTATACAGTGTCGTCCCATCAAACGGTTGAACCAATCAAGCGATGGTTTGTTGTGCGCGTGTGACGTAACGGACAGTAAAGTCTGGGAAAGCCTTACAGCCTTTTCGGCCGTTTTGTAGGCAATTATGGCATTCCAGAGTCAGTTGAACGCCTGTGCCTTCGGGTGCGGGTGTATTCCAGAGTGTATTTTCAGTACTTTATTCAGTGCTAAGACTTATAATAGTTTTTACTGTATTTTCCAGTGTTTTGACTGCCGTTTGGTTTGACTTTAAAAACGACTGTTTTTTAGAGCAATAAAGCACTGAAAGACTCGACTAATACTGAAATCTCTGAAACTCTTTCGTGACTTTCGCCTCCCAGTCCTCCCAAACACAACACTGCGATTATCCGCCGCCGCGTCGCCCACGACTTGTGGGCGAAGTCGTGAATCACGCGTTCCGTGAGTTCTGCTTCTGATTGGAGCCGGAACTCAACAAAACTCAACTCAACTCAAGAGAGAATGGATATCAAGAGTCAAAATCCAAACCAAAGAAACAAAACGAGAGATTCCTCTCCTCTAAGACTCAGATTGCGATTGCGATCCCCCGTCCACCCCCACACGGATCTAGACTGGTTTGACTGACTCTCCCTTATGGGGCGCGTGCAGCAGTCATACAGCAGTCCGACAGCCGAGAGAGAGGGGGGGGGATACTGAGGGAACGGTATGTTTGAGGATATGATTCGCAGTCGGAGTCGAAAAATGACTGAAAAAATCAAACGAAAAAAAGCCTTAAAGCCATTCAAAAACATTCCAAACAAACGCTTCTTCAGAAGCTTTTTAATCCCTATTAATCCGATTCCTGATCCGAGTCCTCGTGTTTCGACTCTTTTCCCGAACGAACCGATCGGTAGTCGTCATCGGCGGTCGACTGAACGGCGAATCCTTTTTCGTGCTTTTCATGCGTTTTCACGATTTTCGCCGAAGTTTTCTTTCGTTTCGGTTTTTTCCGTCGTTTTTCCCGTTTTTTCATTTTCATGTCTTCTTCTTCTTCCACTTCGTTGTCTTTGTTTTTGTCGTCCATTGCGTCCAAAGGAGCCGAAGGAGACAACAGTTCTTCGGGAACTAAAATAAAATTCACGGCATTTTGCGTCGTTCCGGACGACGAAGAGGACGACGACGGAGACGACGAATAGGGAATCAAAAACACTTTTTTCTGATTCATTGAATTCATTGAATGAGACAAAGGATGAGACATCGCGTGACCGGAGGTCGAAGTCGGGTAATTGTGGTGGAAGTGGAAGTGGCGTTGGCGGCGAACGGGAGCGGGAGGAGCGGACATCAGGAACGGAGGCCCGGAGTGTCCGGCGGGAGAAGACATCAAAGGCATTGAAGTCATCGAAGTCATGGCAGGACTCGAAGACAAAAACGGCATTTGTTGCGGAGATTGCGGTAATTGTGGACAAAGACGATGAGTTCCCGGAAGACGAGAGTCGCAGAGAAGTCGCGAATAAGAGGCCATTGTCTGCGGGAAAACAGGTTTCAGAGATATTCGTTGTTTCGAATACTGACCGGAACTAAGAAGAAGTTATTCGGCGAAAACGGCTGTCCATTGGCTAAAGAAAAGACGAAAATCGCGAAAAAACATATCATTTTAGACATGATTTCAAGGAATCCAAGACTAAGACTGAGAACTGGTTTTCAAATCAAATGATTTCGAAAAACGATTCGTTTGAATGACTTTTTTTCGGACATAAAAATTGACACAATTTTCGGCAAAAAAGACAATAATTTTTATTATTATTAAAAAAAATCATTTCTTTTAATATAAAAGTCAATGACTTTTAGTTTTTTAGACAAAAAACTTGTCATTTCTTTGAATACAAAAAAAATCGGAAAATATTTTTAGAAGAAAACACCGAAAAAAGCAGTTTTTGCGGCAAATGTTGGCCTCATTTCTGTCGCTGAAAAAAAACAATGAATTTTAAGACATTTTTCGGACAAAAGAAATGCTGAAAAAAAGATTTTTTTTTCTTTCATCAAAAGACAAGTCTTTTCTTGAAATCCATTCATTGACTGCCATCTGATGTCCAGTTATTTTGTGGTTCTTTTTGTCCGTTTTGTCAGTGAATGTCAATTAAGAGCTTAAGATCTGATCCAATGTTAGACAACAATAACATCAAAAAAATGGTCAAAAAATTGTCAAATAATATAAAAATTATTATTTTTTTGTTTATTAGTAATAAATTATTTTTTTTAATTACAATTTTATTTAACAATATATTTCACTATAATTTCAATCAACAAAAAAACAATTGAATTAATAGTTAAAAAAAAACTTTTTTAATTAACTAAACATTTAATTATTATTTAAAAAAATAATTAATTGAATTAATGAAAAACAAAAACCCGAAAAACCAAACCGTTTTTGTATTTCGGTTTCGGGTTTTTTATTTGTATCTCTAGTCCGACAACTGTCGCCCCATCTGTCGTCGTCGTTGTCGTCGACGTCATCGATGGTTAGACTTATGAACAGCTGATCCGTACACCAGATGTCAGTATTGGTGTCAAAGACTGCGATTGCGTTCAGTGTTTTCGTCGTTTGAAAAGACGTGGCATTGAATCCAATGGCAAATAATAATCACAATTCGCGACCAAATTCCAGACAATCGTTCGCCAGTGGCCACCACTACCCGGCGGCGACTGCGGCGTCGGTCAGTGGCCAACACCAACAACACCAACACCAACTACAACAACAGCAGATGATTCAACATATGATTCAATCGCCGCCAATGATGTCCACTAATGGACAGTACTATTCGTCGCCGCCGTCAATGACCGGAATGGCTGTCAATGGCCAACAACTCCCGCAACAGATTTGGTCGCAAAACGAATATTTATCGCAATATTATTCACAATATTATAGAGAATACTATCGAAGACTTCTTCAGCAAAAACATCAATCGGAAGATCAGAAGACCCGCGAAAAGCCGACTCTTCGGGCGCCACTCAAGTACGGCCAGCGGAAGGTCCACTCGCGAGCCGTGTTCAGTACTTCGGGTCTTTTAGTTGTGGACAATACGTCTTCTTTTTCGGTGAAATCAGTGTTTGTTTACAGTCTTTCGGATCTGTTTTCAGAATATCTTTTCGTTTGTCTTCAATTACAACATCTCTTAAGACAACAACAATTGCCATTCAATGCGAGAGACAATTGTCTTGAATGGTTAAGAGGCTCGAGAGGAGTTCTGGAGTCGCGTTTGGGTTCTTCAGGCGTTTGTCTCGAAAGACGTCTTGTTTTTCATGTTTTGGAAACTCTTTTTCGGCAAAACTCGCGCTTAAAAGGCCACCAAATCGCCGAACTCTTGACTCCGCATTTGGTTGCCGTCGATTCGACGCCCGATTCCGACCAAATGGTTGTCCACGCCTTTCGTCAGTTCCTTCTTCGCGGTCAGCGATCTCTTGCTCTAAATCACGCGCTAAACAATCGACTTTTCGATCACGCGATGGCTTTATCCGCTTTATGGCCACAACTAGAAGGAGGCGCGCCTCCCGGCGAACCGTTGGCCAAAACTTTGCGGAAATTCAGCGAAACATTGGATCCGAAAGATTCTCGTGAGTTTTCATTTGATTTTCTAATTATTAATCAATGATTTGTCTTTCAGTTCACGTGTTTTACTCGACTTTGTTGTCTTCTGGTCACCCGAGTCCGAGTAGAGGACGCAAAACGACTGCCGAAGCCTTTCTTTTGCTTTTAGCCAATGAAATGGATTTAAACGATGTCTTGGTTTTCGACGAAAATCGCTTTTTTGCGAACCTTTTCGCTCTCGTGCGTCGTCTCGGACGACGACCGGACGACACGCGAGACGACGACTTTGTTTTGGCCGAAGATCTCTTCGAATCGGAAGTCGAATGTCTTTTAGTCAACGAATGTCTGGAATTTGGTCTTTACGGCGGAAAACGATTTAATCGCCGTTTAGCCGATAATAAGGCCCGATTTGCGGCTCTTCTGTTTGACTTTGGATTTACCGAAAGCGCTCTTTTCTATTGTCGACAAATCGCAAGTTTCGGCGACTCTTTGGCCGCAAATTCGCGACTAATTATTCGGGAAATTGAATCACGTGTCGACAAAGAAAGTCAACATTTCAACGACGAAAGCGTCTATCGGGACGACGAAGACGACGACAACATAGACGACGAACCATACGATGAGTTGAGTGTTCAGCCGTCGTCCGAAGCGACGCCCGAAGATAGTCCCACGCGATCTGAACGACAAACAGTTGCCGACGAAGTGGTCAACGATTTAGAAGATAATCGACAACAACAACAACAATTGCAGAAACAACAAGAACTACTTCAACAACAACAACAGATACAACAACTACGACAACAAGAAGAAGAGCTGCAAACGCAGCGTCAATCGGCAGAACAGCCGAAAAGTGATTTTTACGGTCAAATCATTCCACAAATGAATTTTGTTTCGCAACCCGTCGTTCAGCCGACGTCTCAACAATACGTTCCGCAATCGTCATCGATGACAGTGTCGTCAGCCGTCGTCCCGGACGACACTATGAAAATTGTGGCAAACGGCGACGTCCCGCACGTCACAAACGGTCCGCCGATTTTCACTCCTCAGCCGGCGATCGAAGAAAACAATACGAATTCTTATCCATTCCTGACGTCATCGCCGGGAATTGTAATGCCGTTTTCATCGCTTCCCGAATCGACTGGAAATCGACAAAATTTGCCGAACGACGACTGGACGACAACAACCGCATCGCCTCCTCCGCCGCCGCCTATTGCATCCGCGACAGTATCTCCTCCTCCTCCGCGACAGTCATCGCAATCGATGACAGATTCAGTTGTTTCGGGAGAATCGCAGACAAAGAGTTCCGGAATTTTGTCGAAACTTTTTGGTTTAAAACGTGAGTTATTTTTATTGATATTTTTTTCGTCGGTTTTATTTGATTTTTAATTTCCCGACAATTAGTCCGAAATCAGGCGCATCTTCCCGACGATTCCAATCCCTCTCTTGTTTTTGATCCCAATCTTCAGCGTTGGGTTGATAAAACACAACAAACCACTACCGACGCTGCGCCGGCCGCCTCTGCACCGCCCACTTTGCCAGCCTTGCGTCCGACGGCCGCTGCGACGGATGTCTTGCGTCGGAAGCGTTACGTCGATATCACTTCAATACAGCGTTAAATATGTCAGTTGTCGTCCCGGACGTCGCACTCAAAATACTGCTCAAAGATTGCGTCGTCCGACGTCCGCCACGCGTCGTCCCGGGCGTCGGCTTCGACCAATGCGTCTACCATTTGACGGGCAGTGGCCACCAATAGTTCGTAGTCGTCTGTTTCGGCGGCCAAAACAATGGCCACTAAGACAGAGACGACGACGAAGAAAGCGGAAACCAATCGAAAGGACATTTGGAGGACGTCTTGGAGTTTTAGATAGAAGAAGAAGAAAAAGACGACGACGTCTGAGACGACGCTTTGTTTTAGTTTTTTTGTACAAAAAAAAGAAAAAATCTGTAAATAAATAGTTATTTTTATCAAACAATTTGTTATTTGTTTTTTTGTTGGGTGTCATTCACGCCCACACAGGAGGCGCCTCCGCGCGCGTGAGTGGGAGTGTATGCGCACCACGAGAGGGCAGTGTATAGTGTGGGCGCGCGTGCGCTTAGATTAGAGATCAAAGAGTTTTATATAATATTTTATTATTTTATTATTTATTTCAATGAAAAGCAATGAATGTTTACATTGAATGGCATTTGAAGTCATTTTTTCTTCATTTCATTTCATTTCGTTCTTTGAATTCAAAGAATCGATGTTTTGATTGAATTGTTTTCTGCAGTTGTTTTGTGTCTGAAATTTCTGTCCAAAGATTTCGATTGTAAAGAGTTTTCTTTTTTTTAACTGAACAACTGTTTGGTGGATCAGTTGTTTAAGATGACGGGCGGTATTGGACAACAACAACAACAAGCGATGGGACGGTGCGGTCCGTCACAAATCACTTACAAGTAATTAACAATTAATTGAATTGAATTAATAATTAATTGAATTAATTGTTTGTTTGATTGAATAGAAACCTAAAGTTCCTCATAACAGGTCATAAAAAACAAAAGACAATAAAACAATTAAACCATAAAAGACTTAACGATTTTTCTTATTATTAATCAACAGATAAGCCAAACGACGCCACTCTTTCACAATATATCGATGTCTGTATTCAACCGAAACACAAAAAACAACTCTTTTTAATCCATTTAATCCTCTAATAAAAAAACTAATCTCTTATAATATCTTAATATCTTCAGGAACTGAAGCTCCGACACGTGACGGATGTGGTGCGCGTCTGCGAGAGTACGTATTCGTCGGCTCGTCTTCAAGAGGCCGGCATTACTGTCCACGACTGGGCTTTCGACGACGGTATGTGTCGTCTATCCGGACGACGACGACGACTATAACTGTCGGTCGTCTACCCGGACGACGACTATTACCACAACTAATACTATTGACTGATTCCTCAGGAACTCCTCCGCCGCAATCGATAATCAAGAACTGGTTGTCGCTGTTGATGACCCGATTCGGCGACAACGACGACGAGGCGTGCGTCGCCGTACACTGTGTGGCCGGACTGGGACGGGCGCCGGTATTGGTTGCCATAGCGTTGGTCGAGGCGGGAATGAAGTTCGAGGACGCGGTTGAGACGATTCGTCGGGAACGTCGCGGCGCTATTAATGCCAAACAATTGCAGTATTTATCGCAATATAAGTCGCGCTCGCGTTTACAGAACAGACGAAAAGCCAATTGTTTCGTTCAGTAATTAATTAAAAAAAAATGAAAGAAATTTATTGCTATTTTCTTTATGTCTGATTCGATGCCGTCGTCGTTGTCGTCGCCCGACGTCTGCCGCGTCGTCCGCCCGATGATGCTTGTTGTCCGTGCGGTGGAGCCGCGCATTTGTGACACAAGAGTCGTCCTCCAGACGACTGCTGCTGTTGTTGTTGTTGGTTGTCTTGAGAAGTGGTGGTAATCGGCGTAAAGACAAACTTGTCGCCCGTATCCAGCGATTGTCGACACGCGGCACAAGACATGCACTTCTGATGAATGTTCAGCCGTTGCGGTGTTTGGACTCTCCACTCGTGAGCGTCTATTCTTTGTCGACAAACTCTACAAATTGATTGCAAATCTCTGTAATGTTCTCTACAGACATACTGTCCGTTATGTAATGTAAACATTCGGTCGTCGGTGGGCGGATGGCCAGTGGCCGCGCATCGCAGACACGACTGATGCCAATGACGGCGATCGCATTCGAGGACGTGTCGTTCGCGGATGTGTTGTCCGCACGCGAAACACACGAACGACATGTTGTTTAAAGTTGTTTGAAAGGACGACACAAAACAACAACACAAAGGAGTCGTCGTCCGAGACGACAGACGGCGCGACACTTCTCTCACTCTCTCGAAGACACAGCGCATGTCTTTACAGACCAATTAAAACAGACTTTTTATTTATTTAATTAATTAGTTTTTTTTAATTATTATTTACAAGAATTAATTCACGCGTCGCTGACCACTACGGCCACTGCCGTCGACGCCACCGCCGATCCGCCAGACGAGGCGGGTGTTGTCGTCCGGGGCGACGGCGGCGATACGACCACACCGTTGACTGCGCGTGCGTTCATCAAGAAGGGCACGTAAAACATTTTCGACTGAAGAAGTAGTCCGGCGGCGTTGGTCACGTGTTGCAGACAATTCAATAGAGCAGTCATTCGGGAGGCGGCGTCCGTGGGGGCGTCGGCAATGTGTGCTATCAAAGCGTGAAGATATTTGTCGCGAATGTGAACGACATTTGTGTCGAAGAAATCGCATGTCGGCGCGATTGTGGTCATTGCGACCACTTTCAGAGCCACAAACTCTTTGAGTGTCAACGAAACCGACCGAAACTGGCCACGGACCAAACACAGCTCGTGAACCAATTGGCCAGCTTCCAGTTCCAACTGTTGCCACGAAATCACTGTTTGCGGCGATTGCGCGTTCAGTCTGGCCAAATTCTTGGCCAAATTGGCCATTGCTTCGCCGACGTCGGCCTCAACTGAATGGTCATCGGGAGCCGAATCGGGAGCGCGGATTGCGGCAAAGGCACACGTGGACAGCACCAGCAGTTCGTGCCACTTGTGCGTCAATAACTGTAATTATTGGATTAGTCTTTGGATCAATTGGATCAATTAATATGTATGAATACCTGGGTGTGAACGTGAACCGGCAATTGATCGTAAAAGGGAAGCCGTTTTGTCCATTGAACCAATCGGTAGACAATCGAATCGCCGATCGAACATCTGATTAGAAGATTATCAATGGATTAGAAACAGATTATCAAAGGATTAACTCTACGGCTTACAATCTGTCCGCCAGTTCGGCACTCGGACCGGTACTGGCCGTCATGGCGTCTGGGGCTTCGAGTGCCGAAAGCGAAGAAAAGTCTGCGAAATCGTCGCATTCTATTAAAGCGTTAAGAAGTTGATCCGATTCGTCTCTAGTCATCACCGGTTCGCGCATTAAATCACTCATCGATCGCATGATTGGCGTCGTTCCGGACGACGGCGTGGACGACACGTAACGCGATCCGCCGTTTGTCGTCTGAACGTATGGACTAACCGATTGGCCAACGCTTCGGCCAAACTGATCGCCACCACAACCTCCTCCTCCACCACCGCCGCCGCCGCGTGGACTCGTTAGCGCCGACTTTAGTATTCCGGCGTTTGCGGAGATGTGGTTATTGTTGTTGTGGTTATTATTATTGACATTATTGTTGACGACGTTCGTCGTCGTCGTCCCGGACGACGGCTGTTGTTGACTCAGTTGTCCGGTTGGCGTCGCGTTATTATTATTATTATTCAGATTTTGGCCGCCATTCTGACCGCCATTTGTCTGATTATTCTGTTTTTTGTGCTTTCGATACTTGACTTTATACAGATTATAGACGGCACCCGAATTGCGTCCGCCGGGCATACGATCTTCGCGAACGGCCGCCAAAACCATTCCCTGACGCAAACACTTCTGAAATCGACAATACTGACACCGGTTCCGTTGCTGTTTGGTTATAACACATTGACCGTCGGCTACACACGTATAGACGCGCTTGTTCTGGACGGTCCGCTTGAAGAATCCTTTACATCCTTCGCAAGTAATTATACCGTAATGAAGACCTGTAGCCCTGTCTTCGCAAATCATGCAAATCATCGGCTGATTTGAATCGCAATTATTATTGTTATTATTATTATTAGAGACGACGCCCGAAACGACACAATTATTATCGGATGTCGCGGTCGTCGTCTGCATTATATGGTGTCCGCCGTCGACGACGCCCGAGACGACGGCCGGAACGACGCGCGGACGACAGTCGGCGTATGAATCGGACGAAACGACTAACGAATGCGTCGTCATTGACGACGACTGCGAATCTGGTTGCGGTGTCGTCGATGTGGACGACGGAGAATTGGATGAACCGTTGGTTGTGGGCGTCGTACTGGCCGTCGTCGACGATGTCGTCGTCCACAGCATTGTCTTGTGTTCCTGACCGGGCAGATCGCCCATCAATAGCGGTACGGGTGCACCGGGAGGTCTGCGGGTGGACAGATCGAGACATTCGTCACAGGAGGCGCCCGACGACGACGACGAAGCGTCTGATGAGGCGGCCGTCGAGTGGACGACGGATTGGTGGACGACATGAAGAACGGGTTTCTGATCGACGACTGATTGCGGCGGAGATAAGTCGTCCACTTTTCGTCGCTTTAATTTATACGAATGAAAAAGAGACATCTTTTAACTGCTGAAGAGTTATTTGTGGCGGCGATTGTGGCCACTGTTCAGAGACACGGGTCGGTCGTCCTGTCGTCGTCCCGGACGACGCCGACTATAATAATCGGTTAAATCGTTCGGTAAAACAACAAATCAGATGAAAACGAATCCAAAAGATTGAATAAAATTATTATTTAATAAATAATAAAAAAAAAGAGGTTTTTCTCTTCACTTAGAGGTCAACGAACTCTTCAAAGCGTTTTGTCGCGCGTGCGCTCTTCTGACACACTTTACTACTGAAGAGAGAGAAGTGTTGTTTGGTTTTTGAGCGCAACTGAACTGAAGGTCAATGAACGCGAACTTCAGCTTTGAGTTCAATGAACGCCGAGAGAGAGCTGTTATTGAAGAGAGAGAGAGAGAGAGAGAGCGGCGTCGCTGCAGTCAAAACACACTGACCCACTTCGCGGTCGTCACTCCCTGACGGCCACCGCGGCCTCCAATACATACACAAACATATAAACAATGAATTAAACTGTATTTTAACTGAATTTCGCCGAAGATTTTCTTCCCGAAGACTTTAATTAAAACACAGAATTCGTTGGAGAAAAACACTGAACGAAGAGATGAATGAATCGAAGAATTTTCGTTTCGTTTTTATCACAGATTTTTTTTTTATACACTTTTTGTTTGACTAACAGTTTTCGTCGGTTTTCGTCGTCGAATCTCTCTCTCTCTGACCAGACATTCGCGGAAGAAGAAGAAGACAGAGAAGAGGAGAAGGAGAAGAAGATATCTGAAGAAGAATCCGAAGAAACAAAACAACAGTTTTTTTGCGACGAAAACTGAAATCTCTTTTTCAGAAATCGTTTTTCAGAAAAATGAGAGAAACTTTTGAAACAATCATTCGTTTGCTTCACTTCTCGAGACTTTCGACGAACCGTTCGTTCACTTTTGGCCTCATTTCTTGTCGACCAATCATTGATGAGTATTCGGTACCGAAAGCGCCATCTGTTGTATGATTTGTCTAAACTGTGACCTTCACTGACGCGTCCTTTTAAACCATCGAAACATTCATTCATTCATTCATTTAAATGGAAATTAATTTCTAATGACTTTTGTCGCCCAAAGATGTCTCTCTTCAGAGTCTCAAGTCTTCAGCAGTAAAGAAACGAAAGTTGTTTTTCGCCGAAAGCGTTGAAAAACTTTTTTCTCTTTCGATCAAAACCACAGATAATTTGAAACTCGATTTTCCACTTCTTCGAAATGCCCGCCCATTCCTTTTCGGACACTCTGAAGGCCAACCGCACCAACACTTGACTTGAAGGCCGATAGACGAGACTGAGAGACACGACGACCGCCAATGGGATGATTGAAAACGCCTTCGAAAAGCGTCGAAGACTTTCGAAACTTGTATTTAAGAGTAGTTTTTTGCGTCGATTACAAGATTAGAGAAAAAGAGACGCAAGAAATGTATTCAAAACTAAAATCTGTTTTCTTCGTCGTCTTTGTCGTCGTTCTGGGCGTCGACTTCTTCGTCGTCCCGATAGACGCGGCCAAAGTCGCCAAACAAGCCGTCGCCCAGTCGTCGTCCACCACTGCCAACACTACTGCCACAGAAGAGAAACCGGTATTCAATTCAAACACAAAAAATAAAAATAAAAGACTCGAAAACTCTTCTCTGTCTTAGCCGACCATCGATTGGGGTCAATGTCCGCAATTGGCGCCCAAAGAGTCGGAACGTGTGGCCAAAGCGCGAGTACTCGAGTCGTGTCTCGGCCAACATCCCGTTCCCCAGAATCTGACCCAACAGACCATCGAAACACGTGACTATTTTTGTGTCTTTTTTGTTCGGATTTTAACTAAAATTTTGTCTTCAGATCAGAAATCAATGGCTAAATGTGCGCTAAAAAAGGAGAAATGGGTTCGAAATCCGTTAATCCGTTTACCGATAATCCTTTAATCTGTTTTATTGAATTAGTTTTCGAAAAGCGGTTCTTATCGCTATTCAAAAGCCGAATCCGAGATTAAAGCGAAGAAATTGATTCCAGAAATGGAAAAACAATTGCTTTCGGATCACAAGAAATGCGAATCTGAGGCCAAACAGGAGTTCCCGAAACGCGAAGCAATTGTCGAACAGATCCAGCTCTACCAGGCCTGTGTAAGTAGACGAAGACATTTTGAATAATCTTGAATCTGATCCCGAATTTGATCCGAAAAACAGATGGATTTTCACATAACAAAAGTCTGTGGAATAAAACTCTCAAACAATTGAAAAATCAATTCATTTAACAATTAATTTCAATAAAAATGTTTTGCAATTAACTGTTGTTTTGGTTCTATTCTATACATATAAACCATTGGACTTAAAGTGTCTTAAAAGGGACCAAATCTTTAGTCTTTTAGATAATCTTCAGAAAACACTATGGATTTCATCGACAAAAACCTCGAAATCAAAGACAGAATTGAAAAGAAAAAACAGTTTTATTGAAAAAAATAAATAAAATTCAAAATCTTTTTATCGATTTTTTCGCTGATTTTGATTCAGATTTTAACCGAAACTTTGGTCTCAAATCGGGTAAAGCAAAGAGTCTTTGCGGATGACAAACGGCGTGAACAGTGGTCACGATTGGTTCGGGAGTTATCGGCGGCGGCGGCGATGGCGTCGGCGGTCTATAAACCAATCGTTTTAATTTGATTTCTGGTTTCAAACCTTGTCTTTCATCAATAATTTCTAACGAATCGGGAATTTCTGCCAAAAAGTGTCCGTTTTTTGTCCAAATTTTCATAGATTTCGGTTTTTTTTGCATTTTTTCCATAAATTCTTTCAAAAAAAATTCGACTTTTATTTCATCGGATTTTTCGTTAATAATTAGTGAAACCAAAGCCGAAGCCAACAATTCATTGTCTGTCCAACGGTTCCGACGACGGCGACGGCTCTGACCAACACTCTGACCACTACTACTACTACTACTACTACTATTGGTGGCCATTAGTCGGCGACGGAAAGCGCGGACACAATCGCGCGCTTCGTTTGCATTGAAAATAGTATTCATTTTTTTTTCTAATAAAATGAATGAATGAATGAAAACATTGAATGAAATAAATAGAAAAACAATTCAATCACTCATTCATTCATTCAATCAACAGATGGCGCGTGCGTTCAGTCAACACGTGTTCAATCATTACACTGTTGTTCAGCGACTGCGCAGTGAATCCAATCGAATGAATCGAATGACGCGTTGTTTTTCTCTAACTCTCTATTGAAGTGGAATTCGACACACATTTCAGTCGCCATTTTGAGCGTCGATTGAAATCATTGTTTCAACGCTTTTGAAACAAATTGCAGTCAAAAAAAAATTAATTGTTTTCTTAGAAATTAATTGTTTTTTTTTAAATTTAATTTAAATAATAATAATAATTGAATTAATAATTAATTCAAGAGTTTTATTATTATTATTATTACTAATAATTTAGCGAAAAAAATATTATAAAAAAAAAATCCAAAAAAATTTTAAAAATCTATTGAAAAAAAATTCCCAAAAAAATCGAAAAATTTCTATAAAATCGGAAAAAAAATCTTTAATTTTTTTAATTCAAAAAATCAATTGTTTTTTTTTTGTCTTCACTTTGACTGCATTTTTAAAGGTAAGTCTATTTAAAAGATATAAACCATTGATTGCCTGAAACTGATCCCCAAATAAAACACGCTTTTCTGACGTCCGAAACAAACAGCGCAATGAATCAGTCTTCGGGTCCCTCCTATCCGATGGCCAGTCTATACGTCGGCGATTTGGCCACTGATGTGACGGAAGCGATGCTTTTCGAGAAGTTTTCGACCGCCGGTCCGGTTCTGTCGATCAGAGTTTGTCGCGATATGATTACCCGTCGGTCATTGGGTTACGCTTACGTCAACTTTCAACAGCCGGCCGACGGTAAGTCTGTAATCGGTAATTATCGGAATAATTCAATCATAATTAAAATGGCGGCCAATGATGATGCAATCGGACGACCAATTGGCGGCCAAAGACTGCCCTTAAGATCGGAGTCCGAAAGGACAGAACCTACCGATCGGTGTCTACGGCAGTGACCATCTTGTGTCCGGTGTCTGAGGCTTTTGTTCTTTGGATTCTTTGGATTAATTGATTTTTCTTATGATTGTTTAGCCGAACGCGCTTTGGACACAATGAACTTCGACGTGATTAATGGACGTCCCGTTCGGATAATGTGGTCTCAACGCGACCCGAGTCTACGGAAGTCGGGAGTCGGCAATATTTTCATCAAGAATTTGGACAAAAGTATTGACAATAAGATAATGTACGACACGTTCTCTACGTTCGGAAACATCTTGAGCTGCAAAGTCGCGCAGGTATTCAAACATTCAATTGTTGTAATAATTGTTGAATTAATTAATGAATGATTTCAAGGACGAAGAGGGAAACTCCAAAGGCTATGGATTCGTTCACTTCGAGAGCGAAGAAGCGGCCGTTAATGCCATTCAGAAAGTCAACGGAATGTTATTGAACGGAAAGAAGGTATTTGTCGGACGGTTTGTTCCGCGAAAGGAAAGGGAACGTCATATGGGAGACAAAACCCGTTTATTTACAAACATTTATATCAAAAACTTGTCCGAAGAGTTCGATTCCGACGAAAAACTCAGAACTCTTTTCGAACCGTTTGGCGACATATGTTCGGCAAAAGTGGTCACTGATCACGATTCGGGAAAATCCAAGGGATTCGGGTTCGTGTCGTTCGAAGAGCCGGAAATGGCGGAAAAGGCTTGCGAAGCGCTGAATGGCAAAGAGTTTGGGGGAAAACCGATGTTTGTTGGAAGAGCGCAGAAAAAGGCCGAACGACAGGCGGAATTGCGGCGAAAGTTCGAACAATTGAAACTCGAAAGACTCAACAGATATCAAGGCGTCAATCTTTATGTCAAGAATCTGGACGACCAAATAGACGACGAACGTCTGAGGAAGGAGTTCGCACCGTTCGGCACAATCACGTCGGCCAAAGTGATGACCGATTCGACCGGAAGATCCAAAGGATTCGGTTTTGTCTGCTTTTCGACTCCAGAAGAAGCGACAAAAGCCGTCACAGAAATGAATAACAGAATAGTTGTGACGAAACCGCTTTATGTGGCGCTTGCGCAGAGAAAAGACGAACGACGCATGCATCTATTGTCTCAACATGTCCAGCGCTCCGGAGGAATGCGTGTCCAACCCCTACCGCCCCAACCCGCGCATCACCACCCGCACCACCACCATCACGCGGCAATGGGTCCCGCATTCCCGCAACTAATGGTTCAACCGCAACAAGCCGGTCATTCCTCTCAACCCCAGCCTGGATACTTTATTCCAACAATGCCGCCAACACTCAGACCAAACTATTACCCGAATCCAGGACAACAATCGGCCGGAGCGGGACAACCGACTCCAATGCGACCAAGATGGACCAATTCGGTGCCGAGACAACCTGGCCAAGGAGGACAGTATCCGCAATCCCAATTCAGAGGTCCGAATATTCGCGCTCAACAACAAAGAGGACAGATTCCCGGCGGACAAACTGGACAAAGACCTTCGGCTCCAATGACTCGTCAACAACGACCGCAGCAACCGCGCGGAGGTCCGGGTGGACCGCAATCGACTGGATTCACTCCGGGAGGGTATAAACGCCCCAATCAAGAGGCGGGACCTCCGGCGGGTATTCGTGTTCCCGGACAGGAACCGCTGACACCGTCGATGTTGGCCGAAGCGAATCCACAGGAACAGAAACAAATGTTGGGTTAGTATTCGTCTATTGATTGTTTAAATCAATTGATCCGTTGTTGTCTTAATCCATGGATTCATTGATTTATATGTCTTTCAGGCGAACGACTGTTTCCTCTGATATCACATATGCATCCGGATTTGGCCGGAAAAATCACGGGAATGCTTCTCGAGATCGACAACTCGGAACTCCTTCATATGCTCGAACACTCGGCCAGTCTTAAGGCCAAAGTCGACGAAGCGGTGGCCGTATTGCAGGCGCATCACGCGAAAGAAGTGGCCGCAAAACAGATCAACTGATTGGAGGACAAGAAGACAGACAACAACCGATGGAATGGACGACAAATTGAATTAAAATATTAATCGAAACTAAAAATTATTATTTGTTTTATTGATTGAAAAAATTGCAAAAAAAACCGAAAAATGAATTAAACTTTTGAACCGAAAAATAAAAACTGAATTTGAAATCCATTTCCTTTTCGTTCGCTTTTTGTCCGACAGATGGCCTCAAACTCTTCACTCAAAACCAAAACAAACAATACTTGGAATCACTTTCTTCTCTCGACTCGTGAGAGACATGTCGTGTCCTTCCGTCGGCCGCACTCTCCGGCCATGTCGTCGTCCGTCACTCTGTCTCCTCCTACTACTCGTCTTTCTCCTGCTCTCATTGGTCGCACTCGTCGTCCGCCTCCGAACGCCTCCCTCTGAACACCGATTGTCCGCCAACACCTCCCAAGCCGTCCGTCGCCACCATTTCTACGATTCGGACCACTCTTTCAATTTGCGCTTCACTTCGAACTCGGATTCGACCGACTCTTCGGCCGACAGTCCGTCGTGTCGGTTGTCGACATGTCTGGACATCGGTCGCTGTTCTTCGTCATCGCCGCTTCGGATTCACATTTATCCGTGGATTGATTCGTCTTCAGCCGAAACCAATTGGAGTCCATTATTCGCTTCAATCGTTGAAATCATTTCGAAATCAGTTTATTTCGAATCGAATCCAAACAAAGGTATTATTAATAGAAGTCGTCGTCCGAGACGTCGTCCATAACTCTCTTTATCTCTCATTGAAAGCGTGTCTCTTCTTAAACACCGTTTGGGATACTCTGGACAGGGATCCGCTTTCAGCCGATTTCCAGAAACCGTCGGCCGTAATGACAACGAGTCAGCCATTACTGGGCGGTCGCAATCATTTGGTGTTCAATTTATACTCGGGTTCGTGGCCAGAATATCGGGAATTGGATTTTCAGTTTTCGGATCCGAATTACGGAAACGGAATCCAAGAAATCCTCGCAAAAGGTTTCAAATCTTTGTTTTCAAAGCATTTCATTCACTAATCATTTGATTTCAAAGGAATTCGTGTCAAAACATCGCAATCCGAGTCTCTTTTTCGACCCCTTTTCGACATTTCCTTCCCTCTCTTCCCACGTGATCACCCCCTTCACGGCCCACCCGTCCGTCCGCCGCTTCCTCCGACGCCTCCCGCGCCTCCCACCCGTTTTATTGGACGTCGAAGACGACGACAACATCTATTGGTATTCAAAGGAAAGCGTTATGTCTACGGAATCGGTTCCGAAACCAGAAATTCTTTGCATTTTCTTCGCGAAGACGAAGACGTCCGCATTCTGACCACTTGTCGTCACGGGAAGCGATGGCAAGATCTCAAAGACGACAAATGCGATGAAGACGACGCCCAATACGCCGCCCACGACTTCCAGACTCTGATGAGAAACGCGACGTTTTGTTTGGTTCCGAGAGGACGACGACTTTCCAGTTTCCGATTCCTCGAGAGTCTGGCCGTCGGCTGTATTCCAGTTTTGTTGTCCAACGAATACGTTCTCCCGTTTGCCGACGTTATTGATTGGTCGTCGTGTGTCGTTCGGGGCGACGAACGTCTTTTACTTCAGATTCCCGAAACTCTTCGTCAATTCAGTGATAATCATGTCCTCAGAATGCGACGCCATTGTCGCCATCTTTACGATCAGTTTTTCTCTTCTGTCGATCGAATCGTTTTCACTGCCTTATCATCGATCGAATCCCGACTTTTACCGCATTCCCGTTTTCCCGATTTCGTTCTCAACGCAGACACTCTTTCGACACAATTTCTGACCACTCAATGGCTTTTCGGTAATCGAAACCTAAATCCAACACTTTATTCTTCCCGAAGACTCTATTCCAACGAAACTCTGCGAATAGTGGCCGTCGTTTCGGTCGATTCTAATCGCGATTCTCCCGCATTGTCTCGTCTCTTATACCGAACGATTATACCGTTGTTATCGTCGGAAACAATCGCCGAAATTGCAATCGTTTTGCCGGAAAAAGGCGTTTCTTTGCCGCCACTTGTCGTGCATTCGTCGCGCATTCGTTTGCATCGAAACGTGTCGTCGTTCGCAGCCGTCGTTCCGGACGACGACGACAACAACACCGACGCTGTTCTCTATCTTTCGTCTCAGTCTTTGCTCACAAAAGAAGAGGTAATAATAATAATAATTTGTATTTTTTTTAATCTCTTTTATTATTCTCAGATTCAGTTCGCGGTCGGCGTTTGGCGTTCTTTTCCCGAACGAGTCGTCGGTTTTGAAGCTCGAAATCATTTCTATTCTTCAGCCAAACAGCGCTTCGAAGTATCCAATCGTTGGACAAATCGGTTCTCTTGGGTTTCATCCGATGGATCTATTGTTCCGATGGCTGTCTTGCGGGCTTCGGTCGACTCCTCGTCCTCTGAATGCCAATCGCTTTCTTTGGCTTTTATTTCTTCGCATTTTTCAAGACTCGGTATTCATTCAAAACTTTTTTTTAAAACTTTTCAAAACTTTTCAAAACTTCATTCAATATATCTATTTCTCCCCCACTTTAAGCCCCTCTCAAAGTCGGACAACGCAAACACGTGACCAATTCATCCAACGATCGGTCGTTCAGTGCGTTGTCCGCCCGTAGAGACTGTTTCGACGGATTGATCCGATCCTACGGTTACATTCCGTTCATTGGTTCCCGACTTCGATTGGATCCGCTGTTGTTCTTGGATTCTGTCGACAAAAGACGCAAAAAATATCTACAAATGGAATCGATTTGAAAAAACAAAACAACCGATCAATCGATTGAATTGAATATCCGTTTGGATCAGCTGTTGATTGGACTGAAATAATGGACAGAAATAAACCGGAAGAAGAAAACGAAAGAAAATTAAAACAGATTTTGTTTTTTTTTATAAAAACGTTTTATTCATTTAATGATAATTTTTTCGGTTCAAAAGTTTAATTCATTTTTCGGTAAATATTTTTAATTCAATTTGTCGTCCATTTAATCGGTTGTTGTCTGTCTTCTTGACCACCAATTAGTTAATCTGTTTTCCGCCGATTTGTTGCGATTCTTCCGATTTCTGACTGTTTTCCGATTCATCGACTTTGGCCTTAAGACTGGCCGAGTGTTCGAGCATATGAAGGAGTTCCGAGTTGTCGATCTCGAGAAGCATTCCCGTGATTTTTCCGGCCAAATCCGGATGCATATGTGATATCAGAGGAAACAGTCGTTCGCCTGAAAGACAAACAAATCAATGAATCCATGGATCAATTGATTCAAACAATCGACGAATACTAACCCAACATTTGTTTCTGTTCCTGAGGATTCGCTTCGGCCAACATCGACGGAGTCAGCGGTTCCTGTCCGGGAACACGAATACCCGCCGGAGGGTCCGCCTCTTGATTCGGTCGTTTATACCCTCCCGGAGTGAATCCAGTCGATTGCGGTCCACCCGGACCTCCGCGCGGTTGTTGCGGTCGCTGTTGACGTTCTGTCTGTTGCTGTTCGACATCTTGGGGTACGTCATCATCAGTTACACCGACTTCGAGAGCGCCATCAGATAGTGAGGTTGAGTTCGGCGATACAGACATGACTTCAATAGGAACCGATTCCGACCGCTGTTCGCCGACTGGTTTTGGACCCAATGGCGTCCAATGACGAAGACCATAGCTGTTGTCATTACCAGCAGAAACCGATCGAATATCGGCTCCCAATTCGGGCGAACCGATAACCGAAACGGAACTCGGTTTGTGTTGAACTCCCGATTCGGCGGCATTCAAGTCGAGCGAACCGTCCTTAATGTTCTGGAATATTTGTGTGGCGGTCGCTAACTGTGACACTGTCATCGACTTTGCCATCGATACAACTTTAGTGATAATAATATCTTCTTCAGACATTTTTCTGGTCAAAGTTAGAGATATATAGAGAGAGAGAGAGAAATAGACTGGAAGTAAACTACAGACTGAATGGCTGTCTGAATGTGTGTGTGTGTAACTCATACTCACGTGCGTTGGTTTCGCTGAGCATTATATTTCAAAACACTGACCAATAGATCCGTGTTTTTCCGACGACTTTTCCCATTCGCTGCCATTGTTTTTCCCGGTTATGTAATAGTTTTTCAATACACAAACCGAACCCCTATTTCATACTATCATAACACTAGTAAACTGTATTAGAAATTAATAGTGTAAAAAGGTACCAAAAAAAAAACTATTGTACAGTATTGACATTTAAATGTCTCGAATATTATGCTAATTTGGAACTAAATTGGTCCCATTCTAGACAATGTATAATACGATGAAACTATAGACACTAATAGTACTAAAAAGCATCAAAACCACACACACAGTGACTGTCAAACAAACACTTGAATGCATCGAAACGTCATTTCTTTTTTGGTTTGTTTGTTGTGAGCGACGACTCCTCTCTCTCTCTGTGCGACTCATCATCTGATCCAAAGACAACACCAATAGTGATGGCGTCTGCTTCTGGACCGTACAACTACTCGTATATTTTCAAATACATAATAATAGGTGATATGGGAGTCGGAAAGTCATGTCTTTTACATCAATTCACGGAAAAAAAATGTAAATCTTTTCCCGAATTTCAATCAAATTGTCTTTTAATGTCTTTTTCTTTTCATTTCAGTTATGGCCGACTGTCCGCACACGTGAGTCCTCTCTCTCTCGAGACAATAGTTTTACTGTTTATTCCGTAGAATTGGTGTCGAATTCGGGACAAGAATTATCGAAGTTTGCGGTCAAAAGATAAAACTGCAGATTTGGGACACCGCTGGTCAGGAACGCTTCCGAGCCGTCACTCGCAGTTACTATAGGGGAGCGGCCGGCGCTCTGATGGTCTACGATATGACCCGTCGGTCGACTTATAACCATTTGTCGTCGTGGTTGACGGACGCCCGCAATCTGACCAATCCGAATACAGTTATCTTTTTGATTGGCAACAAATCCGATTTAGACGACCAACGCGACGTCACCTACGACGAGGCCAAACAGTTTGCCGACGAAAACGGTCTGACGTTTGTCGAGACGTCGGCCAAAACGGGTGACGGCGTCGAAGAGGCGTTTCTCGAAACAGCCAAACGAATATTCCAGAACATTCAGGACGGTTCGCTCGATCTGAATGCCGCCGAATCGGGAGTTCAACACAAACCGAGTCCCGTTTCAGTTGGCGGTCAGGGATCGGGTGGACGGGATGGCGGCGGCGGAGGCGGCGGTCGACCGGAGTGTCAGTGTTGAAGATGAAGAGTCTGAGGAATGAATGGATTGTGGATTGGATTCGGAATCGAATGAATGAACCGAAAGTCGAAACAGATTTTCGACGATTTTATTATCAAAAAAAATATTATTAAAAAATATTTGTTTTATTTGTCTTTAAATTCACGTGAAATTGATTTCAAAGACATTTTTCGGACGAAACTTGGGATCAATTGATTCATTGATTCATTGATTCATTGATTCATTGATTCATTGATTCATTGATTCATTGATTCATTGATTACAAGAAGAAAAAACTCTTTTAATAGAAAACTTTGTTTTAATGAATAAATTGAATGAATATTAGGGAAGAAGCGCTTGTGTAGCCCTTTCGAGATCCCAGTTGTTGGAGGAAAGGGCTACCAGTGCTTTGTGTTCGTCTATTCGCATGACGTCTTGTAATCGACGTATTTTTGCGTCCAATTCCAGGGTTTGTTGTTTCAGCGGATCTTCGATTGAATCCATGGATAAATCCCTTCTTCCCGAAGCGTAAATGAATGTCCAATGTCTGGCCGTTTGTCTGAAGAGTTCGGGATTTTCTTTGTATTGTTTGGCCACAACTGCGTCTTGAGGATCGTCCGCTTCGGCGGCTATTAATTAATTGGATTATTAATTGGAATTAAATATTAATGAATCGGTAAATACCGGCCAAAAGCGCCTGAAGCGACAGCAAGACGGTTCTGATGGTCATCGCTGCCGCCCATTGGTCCTTCAAAATGTCCAAACAAATGGCTCCCGTCACCGAAGATATGTTGGGATGCCAAATACGGGTCACGAATCGGACTTTCGGCGGATTAAACGGATACGTCTCGGGAACTGTTGGATTGAGAAGAAGACATCTTCAGACAATTGAATCAATCGATTGATTGAAGAATACCTTTGATCTCGAGATGAAAGACTCCTCCCGCGTATGGAGTGTCCGGCGGACCAGCGATTCGTCCTCTGAGGTCGAGAAGAGATCCGTCGACTAATTCGACGGCAATGAGTGACCGCTGGACTTCATCGGAACGCTGGACTTCGGCGAACTCGCGTTGAATGCGTTGCGAAGCGATGTTCGCCATTAAAACAGTGACTAATAAATGACGTCTTTGTTATTGAAGACGTCATTCATTTAGTAAACAAACAGATGATTGTCTTAAGAGTGCTTTTGTGGACACAATTGTCGGCTCTTATTGTCCGCCAAAGTCTCGACTTTTGCGGCGTTCAATGGCTTTCGGTTTTTGTCAATTTCGTCGCCATTTTGGTCACAATCGCCGCCCTTTTCGGTCATTTGGTTCTTCACGCGCTTTTCCAACTGCCGCTCATTGTTTACAATTGTTTCGTTTGTCTTCTTTACTCCCGATTTCCCGAAGCACTTCCCGTCCTCGCTCTGGCCGACCCACAATCCCAGTCGGCTCTGCACTCGCTTCTGGCCGGTCAGACGGCCGTCCGAGTGGCCGAATCGGTTCAAGCCGTCTCACATTTGGCCATTTCTGCGGCACTAATGGCCGCTCTTTTCCATCGCTTTCGTCGACACAGAAGTCGTCGAAAACATCGAAATTCAAAAAGTATTTCAATTGTTTAATCCGTTTAATCCTTCCTAATCCTAATCCCGATTAATCCCTTCCTCCCCCGCCAATAGCCACACCCCCTTTGCCGCCGTACACCATCAGTCCGTTGGCCCCCTCTCTGCTGCCGCCGCCTCCCTCTTCACTGTCGCGTTCATCACAACGATCGCGTCGTTCTTCAGCCACAACTCGTTCATCGAAGAGAAGATCTCAACGAAGAAAACAAAGACTTCTAACGACTTCTGCTTTTTATTCCGATTCCGAAACCGATTTCTATGGCGTCACTAACGCCTCCTTCACCCCCTCCGCCGCCTCTTCTAATCCATTATACGACACCAGAAATCGATGGAACGGAAGACAATCGACGGCAGAAACAAGAATCTGATCTCAAAATACTTTACAATAAATAGATTTTTATATTTTTTTTAATTAAAAGTTGTTTTTATTTTTTTATTTTTAGACAGAAATCCATTGATTGTTAGAAAACATGAATTTTTTATAAAACAAAATAAAGTTTTTTGATTTCAAATGTTTGGTATTTGGAAGAGGAATGGGATGTAAGTAAAGGTCGGTTAGAGTTCGGATTAGAGTAGGTTTCGGATCAAAGAGTTTAATATAATTTTTTAATGAATAGTCAATTGATTCCAAAGGAAATGGATTTCAAATTCGGTTTTTATTTTTCGGTTCAAAAGTTTAATTCATTTTTCGGTTTTTTTTGCAATTTTTTCAATAAAACAATCGGTTGTTGTCCTTCTTGTCCTCCAATCAGTTGATCTGTTTTGCGGCCACTTCTTTGTCCTGCAATACGGCGTCAGATTCATTCAAATCTTCGGCACTTTTTTCAATTTCCAAAACAATGGAATCGCTTTCAGTTTCGGTCGGAATAAAAGAGTTTTTGTTAGATTGGAATCAATTGAAGTGAATTCGGATCCGAATCCACTTCAGTAACTCTTCCGTGAAGTTCTTGTTGTCCGGGAATCACTGCAGAAGATTCAGCCTCTTTGTCGTCCACCTGTTTTGCCTGCAATACGGCTACGGCTTCGTCGACTTTGGCCTTCAAACGTCGAGTCAGTGGAGCCGAAGGTCTTTGTCCACCGGTTTGTCCGCCGGTTGTCTGTCCCAACTCAAGATACGCCACTCTTTCTCTAAGTTGAGCAATAGTTCGGTTCTTTATCTTCACCCGAACCGCTCGAACTAACACTGTTCACACTTTGGGCGGAATCGGGCGAAGACACCTCAATAGGTAATCCAAATGTCGCTGACGTTGATATATACTCGATGCCGTTGAAGTCCCTAACGATCGGCTGCGACCGCTTCGATTCATATATGAATCACTAGTCGAAGCGGGCGTCTTCGGCGCCGATGCCGATCTCGATGTTGATTCTCATTGGTGGCCAACAATTCGATAGCCTTTAAGACATTTTTGATCGGATGCTGCGGTCGAAGCCGCCAACACTTGCAATCTGTTCATTAATTTCACACGACTTTTAAACGACATTGTATTTAGAAAAAGTCTGAAAACAGATTCAGAAACAATGAGAGGACTGTCAGTGATAGTACTGACTGACTGTCTGTCTGTAAGTTAAACTCAAGTGCGGTTGTGTTGGCGCTGAGCGCTGTTTTAAAACACTGACCAATAGATCCGCGTGTTTTTCCGCGTCTTGTGTCGCCTTTCGGTCGCCATTTCTGTTATTGTTTATCACAAATATCTATAATTTAAAAAAAATTTTGAAAAAAATAAATCAATTTTTTTTTAAATTAATTATTAATAAGTTATACAATTAATTAATTACTAAACAAAAAACAAACACAAAAAAAACTTTATTTTTCTCAATCAGAAACTGCCGTCAGATGTCGACACCATTACTATAACATTCAACACATTTATTATTACAAACACAATAAAACTCCTAAACTGTAGCATTGAAAGGCATGGCAGTAGGAGTTGTTCGCAAATTCAGTGATACTTAGCTGTCCCCCATTGATAGGCAATACCTGGTAAAGACTGTTTGCCCCCGAGTACTGTAATTCGTGACTTGATATTGACTGTCAATACATACAATCAGACAGACATTGATATATCAATTGCTTTGCAAAAGAAAGTCTTTGAAAACAATCAAAAAATCTGTTGAAATGTCTGTTCAATCGCTTCTTTCGGTGTCCGGCAGTCGTGTTTCTGGCCAATCGGTTCGCACACAAAACGGTGAGTCCTGTTGTCCCTGTTCTGACCACTCACTCCTGACTAACAAACTCCCTCTTAAAGTGATGGCCGCGTCGGCGATCGCCAACGTTGTCAAGTCATCCCTCGGACCGGTCGGTTTGGACAAAATGCTTGTCGACGACATCGGCGTAAGTCTTATTGAATACCAATTGAATTGAATACCGACTGATTGTCTGTTCTCTTCCTCCTCAGGACGTGACCATTACTAACGACGGCGCAACCATTCTGTCTCTTCTCGAAGTCGAACATCCGGCCGCCAAAGTTCTCGTCGATTTGGCGCAACTTCAAGACCAAGAAGTCGGCGACGGAACCACTTCTGTCGTCAGTATTCCCTCTAATAATCAGTAGTTCTTTGGCCCGAACTTTAGCGTCTTTCGTCTATTCATTGCATTGACGTCTATACGACGGGCCAAAAGAAAAACCGATAAAAAAGACAAAAAAAAGTCTTTGAATTCAATGATTGATTAATTGACGTCTTTTTCGCCGAACATTAGGTCTTAATCGCCGCCGAATTGCTTCGTTTGGCCGACGAATTGGTCCAGAACCGCATTCACCCGACTTCGGTGATTGCCGGCTATCGTTTGGCCGTAAAAGAGGCGGTGAAGTACATCCAAGACAATCTGGTAGTTTCGGTGGACTCTTTGGGCGTCGAATCGGTTCTAAACTCCGCCAAAACTGCTTTGGCCTCAAAACTTATCGGAGCGTAAGTCCATTACTATTAGTTAATTAATTAGTATTAATCCGATATGAATAGAGACGCGGACTTTTTCGCCGAAATGGTGGTCTCGGCCGCGAACGCCGTGAAAACATCGGACGGAAAGGGCGGCCATTCGTATCCCGTGAAAGCGATTCGCGTTTTGAAAGCAAGCGGTCGTTCGTCTCGAGAATCGATTTTAGTCAACGGATTCGCTCTCAACTGCGTTCTCGCGACTCAAGGTTTGCAACTAATCCTTGTCTTCTAATCCAATCGTTAATCCGATCCGTTTGTAGGAATGCCGCGAACCGTGAAGAACGCGAAGATCGCTCTTTTGGATTTTCCTCTTCAGAAAACCAAACTAAAAATGGGAGTTCAGATCCTCGTCTCTGATCCGGAACAACTCGAAGCTATTCGTCAACGCGAATCCGATCTTCTCAAAGAACGACTGCAGAAGCTGTTGACGGCCGGTGCGAATGTGATTCTGACGACGGGAGCCGTCGATGAATTGGCGCAAAAATATTGCGTCGAATCGGGAGTAATGGCAGTCAGAAGATGTCGCAAAATCGACTTAAAACGCATCGCAAAGGCCACCGGTGGACAACTCCTCCTCTCTCTGGCCAACATGGAAGGCGACGAATCAGTGGAAGCGTCCGCTTTGGGAGAAGCCGAAGAAGTGGCGCAAGAGTGGGTTGGAGACAACGAACTCGTTCTCGTCAAACGGTATTTAAGACTTTAATCCGTAATCCATAATAACTAATCCGTTAATCCATCTAATAATTAGTCCGAAGCTGGGATCCGTTGCGTCGATTCTTCTGCGCGGTCCAAACGACTTTTTTCTGGACGAAATGGAGAGATCCCTTCACGACGCTCTTTGCGCTGTAAAACGGGTTTTGGAGTCGAAACGTGTTGTTCCGGGCGGTGGAGCCGTTGAAGCTGCTCTTTCTGTATATTTGGAAACTTTCGCCACAACTATCGCTTCGAGAGAACAGTTGGCAATCGCGGCCTTCGCTCAAGCATTACTCGTTGTTCCGAAAACTTTGGCCGTAAACGCGGCAAAAGACGCCACCGAATTGACGGCCAAATTGCGCGCTTATCATAACGCGGCTCAACAAAAACCCGATCAAAAACACTTGCGTTTCGTTGGACTCGATCTATACGAAGGTCAGGTTCGGGACAATGTCGCCGCCGGTGTTTTAGAACCTCTCGTCTCGAAAGTCAAAGCCTTGAGATTCGCGTGCGAAGCGGCCATTACTATCTTACGGATCGACGATTTGATTAAATTGGATAAACAACGCGACGATCACCGATACGGCGACCAATGCGGAGACGAATGAATCCAACGAACGAACGAATCGGCCGAAGATTGGAATCAATTGATTGATTGATTGATTCAAAGAATTTCCGAAACAATTATCGATTTTTTTTCTTTCTATTCATTAATTGTTTTTCTTTTGCAATCATTTATTTAATAATAAAATAAACGCTTTTTAACACTGAATTCCCTTATTTCCGGTCTGTCCTCGAGTTTCGGCCGATTTTGCTGCCGATAGGTCGCACCAATCGTTCCATTTGGAAATCCATGGAACGGACGGTCCTTTTCTCATGACATTTCAATCGACTTTAAAGCGCCGACTCTTCAAAATAGTAAGGCATTGTCGGCCACCACCAAAACATACCGTTCCTCTAAAACCCACACTCCCCCACACACACTAATACATGAACAATGGCGCCATCGAGACAATCGTTGATTGCAGTGACCAATTATGCCGATAATCGGGCGGACAGTACAGACAACGTTCAAAGGTATGACATATTTATGATTAGAATTAGAAAATTAGTTGAATTTATTGCAAAATCTATGCCATCCCTGAGCTCTCTATTGGTTTCGATTGAAAACCGCAAAACACAACAACACTCTCTCCTACTGTTCCCCAGTTTTACTAGTTTTTCAAAGACTGCAATCGATATCTCACTCTATGTTTGCTTTTTTAACGACTATTTGTTTGACTTTTTCTTCAAACAAAAGAAAAACATTTCCTTTGAATTCATTTTTTTCAACTCTTTTTCAACTTTTGGTTAAAAAAAACTTTTTGTAATTTTTTTCTCATATTTTTCTTCAACAAAAATATTTAATACTTTTTGCGTCACTTTTGTTGACATTTATGACGAAAGAGAGAGAAAAGTTGTCTCAAAAGCTACCGTTTCTCACGATTTTTGCATTCATTGACAGAGAGTTTGTTGTTTGGATTGAAAGTCCATTAAACTAATGAAAACTGAAAGACATTTCAGTCTTAAGTCTGAAATGAAATCCAATTTCAATGACTTTTTTGTCGAACCTTTTCGTCGACGACTACCGGAGCGCATGAGTCAAACCAGACAACAGACATACCTTTCCCTTATTGAAAGCACTGACACGTCTTATATATAATCGCTTCTGTCGTTGGCTTTGAACGGCATTTGTATTCAGAGTCTGTGTTTTGACGGCTTTTCCGGCGCTTAAAGAGAAAAAAGTCTTTGAAATCAAAGGATAATTAAAACCCAACTTTCGATCAGTTTTTTCATCAAAAAAATCAATTCATTTCAAAGTTTTTCCTTTAAATTGTGTTTTTTCTTAAAAAACTAATTTATATTTCTGTGAAAAAAACTTTTCGCCGATTTTTTTGTGACCAAAAAAAATGTGATCCAAAAAAAACGGCCGAAAACTCTTGGAAAAAACTCTCTGAAAAAAGTGTCAGTTTTGCCGAACTTTTCTTGTTTTCACCCGTTTTTGTCCGCTTTTGTTGTGCCGATTGTTGCCGATGCGATTGTCGGCCATAAAAGCCGTACTCGAATGCCGCCATAGATGTCCAACCTGTGGTTTTTCCGATTACGCGGCGGTCAGGCCAACTCGCTGAACGAGCGCCGTCGGTCCAGTTCGGAACGTGTCCAAATGGACGGCTGTCAAACGGTTCCGCAGTTTCAGTTTCATCCGGCTTCGGTATCCGGTTCCACCAGTCGACTGCACAGTACTCGGGGGTCGACCGCCTCCTATTGTGCAGCAATGGGCGCTTTAGGAGCCAATGATGTTCCGCCATTGCATCGAACCTCTCTATTGCCCGGACAGTCCATCAATCCGGCCGACAGTCTCGACAACGTCGCACAACTCATACCCAGGTAGGCCAGGGGGTAGAGACTGGGGGTCTGAAAACAGTCTTTCAAAACAAAACTCATTTTATTTGAATTCAATTTTGTTTTTTTGAATCAAAAGTAAAAGTCTTTTTTAAATTTTTTGTTAAAATTATATTCAAATTGTATTCAAATTTGTGACAAATTTTTTTTGTCTGACTTTTGATTTATAAATACTTTTTTGACTTCAAATAAGGGATCAAATGAATGCCAGTTATCCCGCAGAGTCTAAACAGTAAAAGACATTCAATTTATTTTTTATCAAAAAAAGTCAACAAAACATTAGCCAAAAAAGCCGACTAAAAACGCCTCACTTTTAAGCACTTGTAGTTGTATTTGAAATCATCACTTAATTATGTCATTTAGTTAACGATGTTTGCCTTTTAAGCGCTTATAAAAACCTATTCATCAATAATTCAATGACTATTTCTATGACTCTTAAAAAAACACCGTTTTTTTCTCTGATATCATAACTACCGTTACATTTGTGTTGTCATCGATGAAGCAATTGATGGATCAGTTGTTTCTGTGTTGTTGTTGTCCACAAATTGTCGTTAAAAATAACTACTAAATGATGACAAATACTAAAACCATTAAAAGTGTTTTTAATTGAACTCAATGTATACTTTGAGAGCTACTGTTCCTCTTTTTTTTCCGAAAATATAGTTAAGACTACTGTTTCCCAGAAATGTTGTCTTTAAATACCATTTTTCTATACAATTGTATGGAAATTACAGACTATTTATATATAAAAAAAAAACCTTTACTGACATAATGTCATCAATTATTTGTTAGTTTGTTTGATTGGACAGTCGTTTTATTATTTGGGGAAAGTTGTGTTATTTTTTTATTATTATTCAAATTGTAATCATTTTTATTGAAAGACATAAAAATTAATAATCATTTTTCGTGTGTTTCTAATCATTGCTTAACAAAAGTGTTTAACAATAATAATAATAAATATTTATTTATTTTCATATCTTTTATCGCTATTAATATCGCAAAGAGTTTTGCAAATAATATGAAAGAAAACAAAAACAAATTATAATTAAATATATATTTATATATCAATAGAGATATCGTTGTATTGAATGATAAGATAAAAGTTGGGAATCAATGGATCTTTTATTGAGAAAAAAATAGATAATATTCATTACATTCATAGAAATACATAGAAATACATATCCATTAGTTTTTTTAGCGACAATTTATTATCTGAACTCTAATTAAATAATTTGAAACAAATAACAAAAAGTCCAATAATTGGTTAACTATTTGTTTCATTCAAATAATAAACTATTGAATATATATTATATAATTATTATTATATATATATTGTGTATTGAAAATTGTTATTTGGATACTAACAGTGCTTATAGTATATTACAATTTATACTGTATTTATAGCCATAATATATATACAAATATATTGAATGTTGTTTGACTTGAAAGGCTATCTAAAAGACTATTTATTTAACATTTCAAACACATTATTATTACTATTAAAATATACGAAATATTTATTGTGTTATACAATATATATATAAATATATAACTGTTTATTCAATTGAAATGTGTTTTATTTTTAATAATCATTTTTAAAAATAAATATTCTGTAAATAATTTTCAATAAATGAATTAATCTTTTTTTCTAAAAATGAAATCAATTATTAAATCAATTTTATTGAACGCAAAAACATTTTATGTTATTTAACAGTTAATTAGATTAGACTTTTAGCTGTAATTAGTTTTTATTGTTAATCAATAATAATATTAATAATAATATTGAATGAATAGTAGTTTTCTTATCACAAAATTTTTTTTGTTGCATAAAATTATTATTAATACACAAAAAGCCATTTATTTAATCCATTTAATCGTTTATTATATTTTGTTGTTGTTGTTGTCATAAAATACAGTATATATATATATATATTATAATATCTATAGATTTATTAACATTTTTTTGTGTCACTTTTTGTTGTATTTATTGGACACACAATGAATTTGTTTGACACAAAATGTCAAAAATGATTGAGTTATTTGTGTGTATGTCTTAAACACTGTCTATAAATGTGTGAATACAATACACGACAGTATATATTAAAAAAATCAATGAATTATTTTGTAATAACATATGATTGTATGTATAGATTGTAATAACTATTTATTTATTTATTTTTGTCATTAAATTTCCTGTTTTTTTTGTGATTAATTTAAATATATTTTCAGACGATTTTCAATTATTAGTTTGTTTTTTAAATAAAACTATAAAATCAGTTATAATTGAATTTAACTGTAAAATAATAATTTATTTATTTCAATTAATATTTAGTAAAAGCATTAAAAATCTATTGATTTTTATTAAACAACAATCAGAAAACAGTTTGAGATAAATGTATATAATTTATGCATTTTTTATATTGAATTTAATATAAATAATAAATATTTTATTTTTATACACAATAACTACCAATAAAATGCTATAATAAAAAAACAGTTTATTATTTATAAATTGTGTTAAAATTCTGATAAAAATTTCAGATAAAAAAGTTTTTTATATATATTTTTTTAGTTTTAACTAAAATATTGCATAATTTTATTGAATAAATATTTATTTATTGAATTTTAATAAACTGTTTAAATACAATATATATAGAAATAGAAATAAAATTTATATATTTATTACAGAAATTTACATAAATTTCTATTTATTTTTCTATTAAATTGTTTGTCTATTTATTGTTTATGTCTTTGAATTAAATAAAAACTTTATAATAATTAGACAATAATATAGAGAAGTATTAGGTTTAATGATATTAAACACTTACAACCAATTAAAGTGATAAACATTTATTTATTAGTTTTTTTGTCATTATTTTCATAATATTCAAAGTGTTTTGTGTTTAATATAAAAAGATATTTAACTTTTAATGCAAAACGATTTACTTATTTATAATCAACAAAAAAATAAACTTTAATAACAATAATAAACATTATATACATAAGTATTGTATAAGTATTTAACTTTTTTTTTATTTAACTCAAAAAATATTTTATTTATATTTTGTTGTTTAAAATGAAATGTCAGTCCATTTAGTGAAACATAATGTTAATACTGAAACATATTAAATATATATATTTTATATTATAGAAATCATTTGGTTTTATTGAATATTTTTTAGTGTTTTTTTTTGTTGTTGTTTTGCTTAAAAAAGCATATTTTATTATTTACACACAAAAAATGGTTTTAAAATTTATATTAAAAACATTTATAAATAAATATTTTTAGGTATATTTGAATATCTTTTTTATATTAAAATTATTTACACTAAAAATCATAATAAATGTATACAAAAAATAAATATAAATATTTTTAGATAAATATTTAGTTTTTCGACAATTTTTTTTGTATTTTTCTTTAACAAACAAAACAAAAATGTTTTTTTAAATTAAAACAACTAATTAGTGGTCTCTAAATAAATAATAATAATAATATATAAAACACACAAAAAATAATGTCATATATAATACTCAAAAACACATTAAACTAAATAAAATAAAAATAATAATAAAAAATACTTTTTATTTCTACACAGCCTTTGGGTATTAAAAAAAATTTTTTGTTAACAAAAAGTTTAAGTCAATTATCTCTTATCTTAGCGACAAATAACTGTATTTTTGGTGACAATTCAACACATTATCAAAAAATATTATATATTTTACAATATATTGCATTAAATATTGTGTCAAATTTAATATTTTTTTGCACACTATATATAGTTTTTTTTATAATACAATTTTGCTATTATTATAAAATCTTGTATTAAATATTTTGCAAATTACCGATGATTTAATAAAGTAATACTTTAGTAATCAAAAAATGATATTTTTTTTTGTTTTTAAAAAAAATCAAGTTTTTAGGCAAAATAAAAAGTATTTTTTATTTCATTTAATATATGATTCAAATTGACTATAAATGACACCAAAAAACTATAATTTTTGTGTCAAAACAAATTTAATATATTTATTATTATTATTATTATTTATAATAATAATCATTATTTAAGACATTTTTTGAATGCATTTTTATAATGGTATAAAATTTTCTTATCTATAGATATATTATATATATAAATAAATATATATATAATGTATATTCAGTACAATTGGGAGTCGACATCATTATCAGCATTATTATCGACTTATTGCATGAAATTTATGATTTTTATCATTGATTATAAAAAATAAAACATGTTTTTATTATTTATTATTATTATTATTATTAAAGTATCATCATTATAATAATAATTATTATTTTTTGATTTATATCTTGATATAAATCATATAATTAAACTATAGTTTATCAAAATATAATAATTATTCTGTATTTTAAGTGCACTTTTAGTTATTTTAATTGAAAATTGTCTAAAAATAAACTAAAATAAGTTAAACTATAATTATATAAAAATAAAATAACAAAAATGTCAACTAATTATAAATGAATGACTACTTTATACACTATTTTATTATTAGTAAAAATTATTTTAATTAAAATACTTAATTAACATATAATAAGTTATTTTATTTAATTTCAAACATTTAATAACATAAAAAAAAATAAAATTTTTTTGAACGCCTCCTATAATAATGTTAGGCAATAATATTGATTAGTATTTTATTTTTTATTTGATTTGATTAATCAGTAGTTATTTTTTTTTTGGTTGCAAAACAAGTATTTTGTTTCAACAAAGAGTTTGTTTTAGTGTTAGTTTTGGTGTTAATTATTAAATAACTTATAAATTATTATTACTTTATTTATAACAGTATTGAATGTGAATGAGTGGGTGAGTGGGTACACAATAAATGATATACATTACTAATGATTTTATGAATATACATTACATTAAGTGTTTAACTTATAATTTATATATAAAGTATACCATTAGCTGAAATCAAATTTAATTATAACTTAATTTTGAAATGTG